TTAATTATCTGAGAATTCATGCGTATATATATAACCTAGACCTTTCTTGGCTGCCTACTGCCTAGTTTGCCGTTTACTTTGAAAAACATCAGATTTATATCACAAAAAATTTGGGTAAATTCACCAATGAAATTAATAATAACTTTAGGAAATACTGATAATAAAAATTATAATAATATTACACAATATGACGTTATTACAATTCTACTCACCATGGCTCCTAGCCTCCTGCTACACGGCATGTCTCAAACTGTGTATTTGTAATTCATCTTCTTACTCTGCCATAACAGTGCTTCATATAGTTGGCAACCGGCCATTCTACAGCAATCTGGTTTATCCGGACTCGTTAATAGACGCTACAAAAATTATGTTCGATTCGCGCTTTGCCCGTCGATCAGATCAGTAAAGATTGAAGACCTCAATTCAAATCAAACCCGGTAGTATAATATTGAACGAAATGCAATTCAAATTTCAAAAGCTATATTCGCTCGCTGCAAGAATTATGTGAATTCCTGATGTGAGTCATGTGGCGTCAGACTTGGTCCTATTATAGAAATGATAGACATTGTCTATTATTTCTGTAATCTACTATTTCTCTGCCTCTATATAGGTCTTATTAGCATTCTCGTTCAAAATCACCAACTCTAAACCCTCATGGTTAAAGTCAACGAAGATGAAATTTTTGATGAAATAATTTTAGCATGAAATATAAGCTAGCACTTTAAGTGTGACGTAATATACCCTTCTTTATTTATTACTCTTCAGTATATATGTGTATGTAATCTATGTAGAGTTGAAGTGAAACAGAAAATTAATTTAAAGTAATGTTTTAAATTATAATTTTTTGCACATGGTCCGTTTTAGAAGAATACATAATACTAAAATCCTGTTAAAACCATATCATAGTCCAAAGTTCAACTTTGTATAGTTTATAAATTCATTTGCTCGTTCATTTGTAGTTTAGTACCGTGGATCGAATAAAGGTGTAATATACAGTGTAAAAAAAACACTGGATCTATCAAACTATCCACATTTACCGGAATACGAATTGTTTTTAGATAATGGACCGCTATATAAAACAGTCAATGAAACACATTTACACACCTTTGTGCTATATGCATGCATGCGCTGAAAAAAACCGTGTGGTTTTTCACAATTTTTGGTCGAGTATTCACCAAAATTTATTTCAACAACTAGCCCATATTATAACGACAACTTAAGATACCTTTTAAAAACAACAACAGGGTAAAAGCAGTCAATACTGGCAGATTTTTGGTCACAAAATCAGTTTCACTAAATTCCCGCCATTTTCCAATTTATCTTACCAGACGTTATAAAAGTGTTTTTTTAATGAAAGCATGCCGTTACCCGTTCCACCAACCTTATTCTTTCGCGAATTCGTTCCTTCTTTGATTCGTCGTTAACGTCGTAAACGCCAAATAAACAAATAATGTGTTATCAGCTTTTTTTACTTAAATTTGTACACTGAAATTTGTTTTAACTTGTCGGAACTTGTCGGAACTCGGAGCTCAGATAGCTGCATTGAACTGTAAAGATACTGGACAACCCAACGAAGCCAGTGCTTTTTACTTTTCCAGCGTTTTGACGCCTATTAATGTTGAGCCGAATATGAAAATAATGAAATGAAAGCCATTAAAAAGTTTAATTTCGTATAGAAAGTTTTAGAAGTCTGAATATCAACCTTGACTATACGTTGGAATAACGTTCGAGTAATAACGTCGACACAACGTCTATGAAACAATGCTAATGCAATGTTGAATTAAGTCTGTCCATTAACGTCTGTATTTCAACCTCGATTCAACCTTGAAGCAACGTTCACATAATAACGTCGACACAACGTCTTTGAAACAATGTTGATACAACGTTGAATTTAAGTCAGTCATATGACGTCTGAATATCAACCTCGATTCAACGTTGAAACAACGTTTGAGTAATAACGTCGACACAACGTCTTTGAAACAATGTTGATACTACGTTGAATTCAAGTCTGTCATATGACGTCTGTGTATCAACCTCGATTCAACGTTGAAACAACGTTCACATAATAACGTCGACACAACGTCTTTGAAACAATGTTGATACAACGTTGAATTTAAGTCTGTCATATGACGTCTGTATTTCAACCTCGATTCAACGTTGAAGCAACGTTCACATAATAACGTCGACACAACGTCTTTGAAACAATGTTGATACAACGTTGAATTTAAATCAGTCATATGACGTCTGAATATCAACCTCGATTCAACGTTGAAACAACGTTTGAGTAATAACGTCCACACAACGTCTTTGAAACAATGTTGATACAACGTTGAATTTATGTCTGTCATATGACGTCTGTGTATCAACCTCGATTCAACGTTGAAACAACGTTCACATAATAACGTCGACACAACGTCTTTGAAACAATGTTGATACAACGTTGAATTTAAGTCTGTCATATGACGTCTGAATATCAACCTCGATTCAACATTGAAACAACGTTGATTGACTTACGTCCATGCAACGTCTTGGAAACAACGTAGAAGCAACGTTTATATTACGTTGTCGACGTCGCGACGTCTTTTCAACATAAAATAGACGTTGAAACAACGTCTAGTGCCCGCTGGGAAACGCTGGCTGTTCCGAAAACAATTCAGTTATTATAGCGAAAGTATTGATCTGTGCCGGGCGGAGCGAGTGGAATTAACTCTAATTCGGCTTGTTCTGGGTGGAACTGAACTTCGCGTCTGGTCTTCGCCGATATGAGACTGAAGGATAGAAAGTCGTTGATTGTAATTCTTTCCGCTGTTGCCTCTCATATTGAGGTTGTATGACTTGATCATCTTGGTAGAAATGACGGGTAAGTGTGAAATCTCTGCCCGCGTCCCCTACAGGAACCAGAGAGTTTTGTTCGGTGTTTATTAGCCTTCGCGACTTCATTAATTTCTTTAGCGACATCATCCGCAAACAAGCTTCAACTCTCTGTTGCCAGACAAAGCGAGAACAAGGGCATAACTTCTCCTGTTGTTTTATTGCAAGATTGAGTAATAACATAAATTGATGAGATAAATAATATCTGGTACTTTTGCATGGAACTTTCCGCTGTTCGGGTGACTTTTTTAAGTTGAACCGGACAACCTTGTTGACATTTGGAGCGACGAGTAAATCGCAATTCTCAGGTCGCAGATGCTTTTGAAGTAGTTCCTCCTGTTTATAGCCTTGGGCAATCGTTCTATATATCTGTCACAAGGTCGCTGATGAGTTTCGCCAATTTCTTGTGAATCACTGGCCTGTTATGTCAGCTGCAAGTTCGTCAAACGAACTTGAAGTGTTGGCGGTGTTCGGCTCATTAAGATAATTCTGTATCATATCAGTGTCTTGGGGCTAGACCTGTTGTTGTTGACTAGTTTGTTCATCAGGGTGATTACACGCCTCTGTTCCGCCAACGTAATCTTCGAAGTGCTTTAACATATCATCTCGCATCTGTAACATCTTCTCATATACCATGTCAGCTACAGACTCTAGCAACTGGTCTTTTTAAGGGGATGATGTACTTGTTTGATCAGTCGGAGGCGGTTCTGTACATTGGTGTTCATTTCTGTCCATGAATGCAACTAAATTTTTTGTCAGTACCTAGAATAAATAATCAGTTACACATGATGTGCAGTGATCAGCAGAGGGAAACTATAACTTTTTTTCCTTAAATTCATTCAGTGGTGTAGCCAAGCCTGACAATTTAGTTCAACCTCGGTCTGACCTGGGTTAAACTGTCGTCAGACCGAGGTTTGACATATAGGTTAACCGCGGTTTTTTGTTAGGTTATTTCTGGACAGTACTGTAAGTGCTGTTAATTTCTCACAATTCCGGCCATGTCATAGGACGTATGAAACGTCTTTGTTTTGATAGCGCTATCACAGCAAAAGAGCGCAATGCTCAAGTTCAAATAACAATAAGGATGAGGTACAAGGCATTATTATTACCTTATGGGATTCTGACATAACCACAAGCGATGTCTATCAAAATCGCGTTTAAATTACTCTTTCATATCCCCTCTATAGGAATGAAAGAGTATGTCATAGTTTCCAGCCCAGATCTACGGCTCAACGCGGGTTAAATTTTGAAACTGGAAATCAGGAAAAGATCATACCGGGCTAAAAACTCTGAGCCTGCGGTTTATCAACATGTAACAATGTTGTGCTGCCATTATTGTTCACATTTGTCGTGTAACAATATTGTTCAGTGTTGATAACAACTCTGAACAATGTGGGCAGCACAACATTTTTCAATCCTTTCCATATCAATACTGCATAAACCTGATCGTTTTTAGGCGTGAAATAAAAGCCCGTCAGCAGAGCATGAAAGCACTACTTCAAGTAGCTAGAATGTAAGAGGGATTCCACACAATATAAAGAGTCGGCATGCGCAGTGTTTTCGTCTGCAGATATTCTCCGCTGATTGTTTAACTTTTATTTGAACGGTTTGCAATATAAGCGATCTCGCCTGTATAAAGAGCGATAAATTTGCCATGGAATACAAACTTCGACATAAAGAGAAACATTTCTTAGAACGATTAAGCTTTGCAGCACCTTGAGCGCGGTATTCGCAGAAATCAATTGCAAGTCTATCGCCTGTATTCAAAGACTCACGCACACTCATTGAGAATGATATAGAAATTTTGTTATTACTTCATGATCAATGAGAAAATTTTTTTGGTCACTGGAAACATCCAAGGTGAGAATCAAGCTGGATCGTATTCGACTAAAGATTTACCGGCATAGAAACATTATGAGAAGATTGAGAACTCCGACTCAATAAGTTTGTGTGTGAGTGAACCTTTAGAATACAGGCGTATATGTCTGTCAATAAATAAATTATCTATTGTATTTGTAGCCGCTGTCATCACTTTGTTCCCCTTAATCCCAATATGCCAGATTATATATATAGCTGACTTTGAGCCAGTTTTAATAATAATTACAATTTTGTATTGTTGTTCACTGTAGATATTTGTTTTGGATTGAGTATAATGGAGGAAAGGTAATGCGAAGACACTTGGCTGCTAAAAAGGAAAAACAAGTATATGGTTTCAACAGAAATGGTGTTTACTATCTGGCTCTGGATTACAACAGGAAGCGAGTGTACACGTACGAGAGAAGGGGAACAGATAACGTCATAATTGAAATGGATTACGATGGCCGCAACAGCAATCAGACAACTAATTATGGTTCAGCTGTTGTTGGGGGAATGATGTCAGTGGACGTTATTGGAGATTTTCTTTACTGGAAAGAAAGAATTTCACCCATTGTCATAAAAATGAATGTCACCAGCAGAAATATATCTCGTTATATTCCGTTACCAAAAGGCTTCGACGTGAGAAAGCTTCTCGTCGTAGACAAAGATCGACAGCCTGAAGGTAAGTTCATACATTCTGGTAAATGTTAGTGTGAGGTTCACTTCTTGAATTCGCTTTTAGGTAAGGAAACTACCCAGCAGAATAAATCTTCCGTCCAAAAATAGTAATTTCGCTCTCACATGCATGCGCAGCATTTTGCAGTTTTATAACTACGTAGCTTTTATTAAGTGAAAAGCCCTCAATTTATATATTGCGGGTATTCTTTATATACACGATCGATATCCGACAATTTAGATTTATTAAAATGAATCTAAGTTATAGCCCTTTGTATAAGGCAAATCATATGACAATGCCGTTGTTATATCTACAATCGAAATATGGCTTGCGATGTTGTTGTTTGCCCTGTTGAGCATCACAGAAAATTATGCGGAATTGTTTAGGCACCGATTAATTCAATCAGAACGGCGCCACAAAAAACACTGTTTTCGCAACGTATTCAGTCAAACTTTATTTACTTCCTTCTTCTCAACAGATAGAACTTTATTTACTTCCTTCTTCTCAACAGAATAAAGGATATAAATACAAAATACCTAAGGAAAAACGATACCGCGACATATGCATGCAATAAAAACTCTCATTTGAAAAACTCTCAATATCACAAAACGTTAAAAAATGCAGTGTTTACAAAAATATCCAGTATCCAATGCCAAAATATGCCTATCAATACTAATAATAGAATGAAAAATACGATAATATACAAGAGAACTATACTAAACACAGGCTTTTTCAAAAAATGCGGAAAATTTCATGAGAATATACGATGTTTCTATTTTCTCAATAGGGACATGCATCACAAAACTTCACGTCACTAACAACAACAGCTCTCATTAAAGCACAAAAGATTGTCCTATCAATATATTTATGTCGTGTAATATTCCTCGTTGTTCTCAAAATAACACGCATGGGATGTCAGCGAATTATCCAAAGCAAAGGCGTTTTCGATGAAATTCAAATTATACCAAGGCTATTCCAGCCTGCAAGTATAATTTCGGTTATATGAGGGAACGAAGGGAGAAATATATGAGAATAGAAGCGGTATGGCATACCAATCTGTGCTTCACATCACTTTTTAACCAAGAACCCAGAAAAACATAGGTATTACCCCCCTGAACTGACCTGTCCCATGAACCTGCTGTGGCTTATTTAACCCTGCATGAACAATGGGAGGGGTAAAGGGACTGATCATATATTTCTCCTTTTATTCCCTCATATAACCGAAGTTGTACTCGCAGGCTGGAACAGCCCTTGTATAATTCGAATTATATTTCGGGAACTCCGGTCGATATATGAGAAGACAAGCGGTAGAGTTCAACACTACAACAGTAAATTGTATTTAATATAAACTTGCTTTATTTCTCTCCGTACAAAAAATATCAGTCTATAGACTTTATTATATATGATCAATTTAACACAACACGGCCAAAATTTGGTGTCGATACCATAGGTCTGTAATAGAACTGTCGAAAAGTGGACTTTTTATTTCAGTCATGCAGTCATCTTCAGTATCTCATCTAAGGGAACAGATCCGTTGGCAGCTGCTAAAGTTGCTGCTCCCCTTACTGAATGCGCTTTGAAGATTTTTGTATCTATACCAGCCTGACCCAGTATTGAACGAATCCAGCGTGCAAGTGTTGCTGTACTGACTGGTTTATGAGGTTTAATAAATGAAAGGAACCGCTTATCGGGTTGGTCTTTTGAAGTTTCCCTAAACTCCGCCGTCGTTGAAATGTAATGTTTAAAACATGCCACTTTCATAACCTACGGTCATCCGGAAAACAAGTGTAACATGCCGAAACGGCCTCATCTGGTCGAGTCTTTGTGGCAAAAAAAGTAAAAGCTAGACCCTCTGGAGAAACCTTGCAGTGATTGAGGTCCAAATTAGAGAGGGACGAGACTCTCTTTGGAAAAGTCAAGGCAACGAGATGTGAAATACGCCCAGATGTAGGCGTGGACACATCGGATGAATCGAAGGGTCGGATGGATTTATCACGAGATGTTTGTTGTTTGGTAGGAGAGTCGGTTGTTCGACGAGAAGGCTGATTAGTAAGGGCCGCCAAGGCTGGGGTTGCCAAATTGGCGCTATTAAGACGATCTCTGTTTGGTCCGACACTTTTTTGAGAACAATAGGGACTAAGTTGAACGTTGGGAAGGCATATCCCGCAAATCCTTTCCAATTGACCGTGAAAGCATCCCATTTTTGGGCCTCTGGGTCCGGTTTCCAACTGATGTAATTTTCAAGTTGTCGTGTTAGTCGAGAGGCGAAGTGGCCCGTTCGACAGTCTTTCAGGAACGGTCTCAAAATTTTTGGATCGGTCATCCAGTCGCTTACGTCCAGAAATTGTCTTGACTGGGGGTCTGCTTGAATGTTGGTCTTTCCTGGAAAATGATAGGCTACAACAAAAAGGTCTCTCTGATTGCACCAATCCCAAAGTTGTAATGTCAGCTCTAGTAACTGTAACGAGTGGGTGCCACCCTTGCTGTTTATATAGGCAATGGGGATAGAATTGTCCATGTTCAATGACACAGTCCTTGCATGATTGTTCTTCAAGAGGGACGTAAGGCCGAGAAAAGCAGCCTTCAGCTCGAGTATATTTATGTATAACAACTTCTCGGTGACTGATCATTTCCCGTTTGTATGATTGGTGCTGCTGACTGCTCCCAACCCCTGTTTCGAAGCATCGGGAAAAAATATTACATCCGGGGATGGTATCATAATCGGGTTGCCATTGATAGTCGTAATATTTCGAAGTCACCACTGGACTTCCGTTCTTTGTTTGTCTGGAAGATACACTTTCACTTCGTAATTGTGGTTTGAGCTGTGCAGGTTGCGGATAAGTAAAGCTTGAAGAAAACGAAAATGAAGAGGAGCTTTCCAAAATTGCTGGGCGGTAAGATTCTAGCAAACCCAACAGTTGAGCTATGCTCCTTAATGTATGTTTTTCCGCTTTCAGCAATTGTTGACAAAGCCCTAGCATTTTGTTTATATTTTTCTCAGGTAGGGAGATGATCATTATGTTCGAGTTGATTATGATCCCCTCGAAATGGATTACTTGAGTCGGAGACAGGATGGATTTCTCCTGATTTACTATGAGTCCCATGGGACTTCAGTGACTGTGAATCGGATTGTCTCCTCCGGTGTTGCCCCGATGATAAACATATCGTCGAGGTAAACTATTAGCAGAAAGCCTCGTTTCCTTAAATAATTCGCAACCCGTTTCATTAACCGAGTGAAGATCATTGGAGCTTTGTTGAGGCCAAAAGGGAAAGATTTGAATTGATAGGTTTCAGATTGCTGTCAGACTTTGCTACTGTTTGAAGCGGCTTGTTAATTTGGCGGTCGTTGGTAACGAGACTGGGAGGGACGTAAAAACAGACACGGCTTGTTTTAAGTTTTGTATTTTCTTGACAAGGGGAAACTTCTGCTTGAATGTTTAAAGTCTTGGTTATATTATCAAGGAGCCGTGGGTACCAGGTTTTTTGCCAAGCCCCACGATAATTCGGCTTCTTTAGATGGAATGGTGGGAAAGTCAGGTCCAAAAAGCAACCTTTTGGCATTTGGTTTGCCAAATCCACTTTTGATTTGTTAGTTGACGTTAATGCCTTTTTGCGGCGCGTATGGATAATTGCGTGTTAGCCGAACCTACAAGACATAGTGATTGCTTAACAAGTAATTTGAGATATGTAGGGGTAACAGGAATGTTATTCTCTAAACGGTCATGCAATGTGATATTTAAACATACCGCGTTGGACCACTGCGAGCTCTTTATCTCGCTCCTGAACGAACTTTAGTCCTGATAAGAAATATGAAATAAGATTGCAGGATCTAGAGTAGGAGCAACAAGTGCATCGTCTTGGAGAAATCATAAATGTGATCAAAGGATGATTTCCTTCCAAAATTCTTTTCCAGAAAGTCGTAAAACTCTGAGGATGGTGACCACGAGGTCGTAACGGATTCGGGGTCTTAAAAACTTGATTGACCCTCGGTGGATTTACTATGTTCTAAAGTTTGTTGATTTGTTGTTTCTCCACTTATATCCTCGGTATTGAGACAAACGTTTTAATGTGTGGTAGAGTTGAGAGTCTAAAAGTCCTCGCAGTTCAAGGGATTGTCGTTCCCGCCAAAATCGAAAGTGTGTCATCATCGTCCCGTTCGGGATCTTCTTGATTTTCAGAATGAGAATGTGTGATATTTTCGCAACCCATAGCATATTCAAGCTGTGAAATTCTTTTATTACACACTTCCGTGTTAGATTTGAGATCAGAAACTGTAGATGAGATAGTGCAAAGTTGCCGCAGCATTTCCTGGTTAATTTTGTTATGATTTGACTGATCTGTTTCGTGGCGGGATTTTTTAAACTTCGAAGATTGGTAGGTAGAGTCGCGTGAATGAGATCTTTTTCGTTTGTAGTGATTAGAAATGGTCTAAAATATATTTAAGTCTCTAGATAGGTTTAAAACACAAAAAGGACGGGGTAAAAAGATGAAGATATTTGCCTACCTGAAGCTTACCTGTTCGTGTGCTTCAACACAAGGTGATATGGGACATATCAGTCCACGGGGGAAATACCTATATTTCACAGGGTTCTTGGGTTAAAAGTGATGTGAAGCACAGATTATAATGCCATACCACTTGTATTCTCATATATTTCGAACGGAGTTCCCGAAATATAATCCGCAAGATGTTACTACAATATATAGTACGCAAGTTATGTCTATCAATACGATAGTTATATGTATTCCCGTTCTCGTGAAAAATACGAGCAATTTATAATTTAACTATGTTCAACACACGCACTCTTGATAACAACATGCAATGTTTCTCGTTCTCAACCTTTTTAAGGGTCGGCCTTAGTTTACCTTAGTTACACGCTATTCTGTGTACCTGTTATGAATGGACAGAGTGTGTTCTCTGCAAGTAAACTAACAGCCAATTGGATAGCGATGGCACGTACGGATCAACAACCTTTTCAGTTTTCACATCCGACTGTCTACCTATTATGCACGAATATAAATATTCCGTTTACTGATGGTAAACTAACAATACTAGTCCATTCTATTTCAAGTATACGGATCGCAACCTTATCAAGGGCCTACCTTAGTTACCCGCTGGTCTCTCTACAGGGTGTAAAAAAAAACCTTTAGAAATCAAACTATTGTTATAATTTAAATGGCTGATCAATTTCCCTAGCGAACGAGTGCACAAAAATGCAGAATCGAATATTATTATATGACTAGTGTTTGTTTTTGTAAATCCTGCAATTTGATTGGCTGCTGACGAGGCGGGATTTTCCCATATTGCCCACGGGCAATACGCTCAATTTTTATTGAATTTGCCAATAATAATATGTATAGCACATGCTAAATAATTTTCTTGTTTGCAGCACCTACCATGGCGGCGGCATCAAAAATATGCCTCTCACCCGATGATAACTTACTTAATTTCCACACCAATTGCATTTATAAATAACAGAACAGTCCAAGGATGTAACTCTACAAATTGATAAGGCTATATCCAAATAAAAAATCAAGCACACCGGTTTCGGAAGGGAGGTTAAAGTTGTATATGAGACTTAGAAAATAGTGCGAGTCAGCTCGGGAAAGAAACAAAGAAACTTTCTCTAAAAACGTTGTGCCGTATCCCGATGAAAACGTGGGTAGAATTGTGAAAGGTGGTCAAAATCACGCGACACATCCTCGTTCCATTCTTGTTTGCTTACACCCGCTTCTGAACGTAATAGTCGTTCATATTCGTTATGAATAACATACCGCGTGCTCATCATCACATGTCTAAAACACTACAAAGTTTCCGTTTAAAAATTTCACAGAGAATTTCGCGAAATGACATTTAATTGCCGACGTTCTTATTGATATCAGACGTGTTCAACTTGAAGTTTCATTTCTGGGGCAAATATCGCAAGCGCAAGGGCATAGCCATCCAACTGATAACCAAAACACCATCCAACTGATATCCAAGGTCGGCTGTCTATAACATACATTTAAAGTTTTAGTTTTCGCATTATCCTGTCGGAATATCATGGTACAATAAATATATTTGCTGAATAAATACCCTCGAATATCAATATTTGAAGTTAGTGATGCTATGCAGTGAATTAGTGAAATTGTGTGGACATTTTTGTGTGTACGGATTGTTATTTAATGATGCGTTTTTATACAAACAAAAATTTGATATTTCTGAACTATATTTCATAAGGTGGATGCCAAAATGTTTCATGTCGTCACGGCTACTGTTTGAATATTAATGGTACTGATAAATGTCACTGTGATAACGGCACAAAATACGATGGAGAGTCTTGCACAGGTATTTACGAATTTATTGTCAATTACTCTTGCAGGATGCAGAATTTTTTGTAGTGAAAGACACCTGAAGAAAAGTTTAATTTATTTATTCATTATTCTTTTCGTAGATTTTGCCCGGCAAATTCGTAATCCGTAGAACCATTTTTGTTTAACTCATTAAAAATCAATGAAGGAATTTTAAAATGAAATGTTTTTAATTTCGTATAACTGCGAATTCAGATTTGCTTGATTTTTGTAAACTTCAACTTCGAATTTCCTGACAATATTGCTCAACTTAACTCCTAAACAATGTTTTATAAGCACAATAAAATATTCGCCACCGTGTTTCATAAGATATAAAAACACTCGTCTTCCGCGCGTGTTTTCATCTAATACAACACGTCGGCCTCGCTTTCAGCTCTACTGACACAACATGGCCTTGGTTTTGGCTTTTGTGTGTATCTGCTAATACAACAAGGCCTCGGCTTTGGCTTGTGTTTATATCTGCTAATACAACACGGCCTCACACTCAGCTCGCGTTTGCATTTACTGAAACAGCAAGGCCTCGGCTTTGGCTTGTGTTTTTATCTACTAACGCAATACGGCCGCTTATCGGTGTTTATAATAGATAGTCAATTATATAGAGTTTAAGCAACACAACTTATTGTAATATCATGCACGATTTCATGAATTTGATACTGCATGATCTACTTTTCAATACATAACCCACCAATCAGATATATAACAGCATAACTATATGCCTACAAGGCTATACATCTTCTGTCTTCTGTAAGCACAACACGTATTAAATTAAAACAGCTCTTTCTTAAAGGCGTCGTTGACACATGCGTATATACATACAGTGTGGGATTTACATGCAAAGTGGTCATACCGGATAAAACTGGTCCTACCCGCTAATCAAACATGTAAATCTAAGCAAAATGACTGAACACTTTTTTATATTTTGTTTAGATATTGATGAATGTTTATCATCTCCATGCATTAATCATACTGGTTTCTTGAAGTCATGCAACAACACTCCAGGATCTTACGTCTGTATGTGCGAGAACGGAATTTATATAAACGGAAGAGGATGTGCAGGTATGTATTGTCACATTATTATGCAGTTTTTTAAAGGCATATAGGCTGTTTAATAGCTCATCAAATCCTTGCTTAACATTCTTCCAAAAAGCAAGTGCAAGGCAGTGTACCATAATATTCAGGCAAAGTTAAAGTTAAAACAGTCACCTACAGCAATAAAGCTATAAAAACTGCTAAATGGTATTGACCATTGATCCGACGACGGGTTGCAATTTTTGGAGCATTCCCAGTTTGATCTGAGTTCGTATGTTTTCAAATCTCTACATTTAAAATTAGAAGAAGTATGTTTGACACACGAAAGGGTGAATTTACCATGCAATTAAAGAAAGCTCTGGATTGCGCAACATCAGTGCCTGGAATTGTGTGATAAATTTTGTTATTTGAGAAGGATGATGCGCTTCAAAGTTAGTCAAATTTAAGCTATATGAAAATATAGGTTTTAAAAAAACTATTAGTCTACGCGAGTTTATAACAAGTAGCACGGGAGAGTTAATGCGTGTATAAGCGCCAATCAGAATCAAATGTCTACTTCAATTCCCAGCGCTAGCGATGAAAGAATGCAGTTCTTGACTGGTTCTTTTAAGACACAATTATTTGGGTATTACCAGCCATTGCAGCCTAAAACGATATTGCTGTAAAAAGCTAAATAACTTCTCTTTAAATCGTTGGACTCAATACTTAATAAATTATTATCAAAATTAGTTGTAAACTCCTCAATCTTAGAAACAGCGCAATGGTGCAACTCCCAGGCAAATAAATAATTTTGGTTTGCTTTGCAAAATGTATTGCATAATCGTTAAGGTTATACTTAAGGAGATAAACAGGCGAGATGAATACGCTTTTTCACAATAGTCAGGTATTCGCTGAAGAAGCAAACAATAATTGTGATTTAACAATGGTTACTTATATCTGGACCTGTATAAATCAGTTTCCACACAAGCTCTCGCTAGTGATCATACTGATTTCGTCTGCTTTTTGTCATTTGATCTTGATCCAGAAACCATAGTCATTACAAGATTCTTAAAATCGTATTTTGATTGACTAGTAGCCAATATTCCCTAAATGGCAACTATAAAACATATTATTAACCATTTTTAAAAGACGAAACGCAATATATTACAAAAAAGATGTAAGATAAGTTATTTCATCAGAGAAAACATTGATTTATAGTATCAGTAGTGGATGACATTATTCCTTCAAAATGATAACCGTGACATTATTAAAACTGTCTTAAGACTAGGTTGAGACCTAGGCTACGATGAACTTGTTTTTCGTTTGGACGATTTTTTTGCCAAAAAAATCCTTATTTAATCCGTTGTGCATTCTAGCCCCGGTGCTATTTCAATTACTTTTTTAAAGACGAACTAGACTGACATGATCGAAAGACAGCGGAAATGGCTTCAATTTGAAATAACTATAAAGATAAATATTGGAACAAGAGGAATTAAAGCGTCCTTCGGAAAAAACAACCACATTCATTTTGTATCAGATTTAAATTTGCATGGCATGCATGGACTGAAATTACACGGTCTTTGTGATTGCCTCAAGCAACTTTACAGCGCCGAATAATCATAATTTGGAAGTATTAGAAATGTGTGTTGATGAGTAAAGTTGTTCATGAAGCCTTAATATCGGATAAATATTAGTGACGTGTAGTGTTGGTCTCATTGAGATACAGCTTTGTGTTGGATTGAGGGTTAAAATAAGTTTCTAGTAATGGACGAAGAACAGGGTTATTTCCATAAGAAACGTTGTTGATAAAAATAGATGTAACTTCGGTAAAAGATAATTGAATCCAGACGATATTTTCAATAGCTTATTCTATAATTTGCTTGAATGCTTCTCGTGTTGCTGGTTTCTCATTTTAAATTTCCCCTGGTGCAATAACCGGATCCCGGGAGAGTCTGTGAACATGTGCTGGCAAAACTACCTTGGGCGTTGATGGTGTCGATACGATAGACGGCGAATGTTTCTTTAAGATGGTTCATTGACGTTGCCAGATATAGATCTCTAGAGTAATATGGTTTTCATCACGGGTTATGAGTTTAGATTCTAACGGAATCATCCCTTCGTTGTGAAGAAAATGTTGATACTATATTTACGTGGTTTCATAGAAAGCGTATTGCAAAATTCCATTGTAAATTAATTGCTATATTTCCGCTGGCCATTGGCGCATTCACGCGTTGTTATGCATGTCGTCTGCTTTATTAGAATTTCCGCGCATTTTCGAAGGATCGATAGATCATAAACATTATTATGTCCAATTCGTTATCCTGAAGTACATCTCTTGCGTTTGCGACATTAGGAATCTCTAAAAGAATAATAAGTTTGTTGAATATTCAAGACCAAGCTGACAAACCATAGTGTGAGGCATGGTCCATAAAATGCAATTTTCGCAGCACTCCCATTTTGATCCGAGATCGTATGTTTTCATCCTCTCTTCCTCCTAACATCACGTCTTCATTTAAAAGAAGTATGTTTGACACACGAACCGGTGAATTTACCATGCAAGTAAAGAAAACTATGGATTGTACAACATCAGTGCATGGACCTGGTTCTAACATGACTTTGTGTGATAAAATTTTGTCTTTTAACCAGGACGATGCGCTTCAAATTTAGCCAAATTTAAACTAAATGAAAAGGACGGGAAAGTTAATGCGTGTATAAGCTCCAATCTGAATCTGATTCAATTCCAAGCGATGAAAGAATGTGGTTCTTTACTGGTTTCTTTTAAGACACAATTATTTGGTTATTACCAGCCATTGCAGCTTAAAAAGTTATTGCTGTGGAAAGCAGTATAGATTCTCCTTTAATCGTCGGACTCAATACTTAATAAATTACTATCAAAATTAGTTGTAAACTCCTCACTCTTGGAAAAAGGGCAATGGTGCAATTGTTAACTCTCAGGCAAATAAATCATTCTCATTTGGTTTGTAAAATTTATTGCATAACCGTTAAGGTCAAACGTATCAGATATAGCGCCGAGTTAGAAAGTCTTGTGATTCTGCACATAAAGAGGCGAAATGAATACGCTTTTTCAGGTTTTCCCTGCAGCTGCAAACAATAATTCTGATTTAATAATGTTTACTTAAATCTGAACTTGTATAAATCAGTTTGCACACAAGCACTCGGTAGTGATCATACTGATTTCGTCTGCTTTTTGTCATTTGAACTTGATCCAGAAAGGATAGTTATTTACAGATTATTAAGAAACCTATTTCGATTGACTATTATAGCAACCAATTCCCGCTCATTGCAACTATAAAGCATAATGTTTTTAACTAATTTTTAAAAGACGAGAAGCATTTGCTGAACCTTAGGAGATGATCTATACGTAGGTGATATGGTTAGCGAAGGGGATAGTTTGGAAAAAACTTTAATATATTATATACAACTTATAAAGATGATTTATTTCATCAAAGAACACAGTATATAATTTATAGTAATAGTTTAGTGGATGACATGACGTATACTTTGAGATGCATGATAACCACTAACACTAGTTCTGCCAGTAAAACTTCCTTAGAACAAGGTTGGGACCTAGGCGACGTGGATATTTTCTCGTTTTCACGATTTTTCCGAAAAAAATCGTTATTTAACCTGTTATGAATTCTAGTCTCGCCGGGTCGCTGTAAAAATCAAAATATTAAATGTCAAATACATTTTATAAGACAAACTAGACTGGGATGGTCGAATCTCAGTGGAAATTGCTTCAATTTGAAATAAGATGAATATTGGAATAAGACGAATTAAAGCGTCTTTCGACATATACAGTAACGCCATTGTATTTGTATTAGATTTAAATTTGCATGGCGTGTATTGAGTGGAATTAGACGGTTTTTGTGATTGCTTCAATCCAGTTTACAGCGCGTCCGGTCGCCTACCTTTGGCTTTTAAGGAACGCTTCGATAAAATATGTCTTTCTTAGTGGCAAAAATTGTCAAGAGCGCGCCACTGACGTTAGTTTTCCTGAGTTGGAAGTGTTAGCAATTTGAGTTGATGAAGTCTTAAGGTCGTGTCGTGTAGTGTTGGTCTCATTCAGAGATAGATATGTGTTGAATTTGGGGTTGATAAAAAAGTGGGTAGCATCGGACTAAGAAAGAGTTATTTCAATAAGGAACATCGTTGAAAAAAATAAATGTAACTTCGTTAAAAAGCTTTGAATCCTGACTATATTTTCAATAGGCTATTCTGTGACTTACTTGAATGCTTTTAAGGTTTTCCCTGTTGCAATACGATAGATGGTAAATGGTTGTCATTATACAGGTCATGTGCTTAAGTTTATTAGTAACTCGCAGACTAAAAAATTGGATGCGGTCATAGATAATGAACTAACTGTTGGTGAATATGAGAGTGTCATATTTACATCGATCAATGACTAAACTAAATGAACAAACTAAATTATTGTGAAGAATCAACAATGCCGTAAAAATCGCGCTGCGTATTGAATTGTGAAAGGAGAGAAAAGTGTTAAAGAAATACTTCGAACGTGTTGTTATAATTATGTGACTAATGTGAGTAATACCAAGAGAAATTTTCATCGCTCGATGCCACGATAAGAGTTGGACATTCGGGTAATTTCAAAACTTTTAAATCCTTGGAAGCCAAAACTTTCATGCTATGGCAAAGAATTATACAAGGATTAATTCCTTCTCACTCACTTTGGTAGGAAGTAGTTTTACGACGTTGCTATCACTTTTTGAAATTGTAGACCCTGGGGTACATAACATTTGTCTATCTGATTTTTTTATTTCAAAATTATTACTTAACGAACTGCGGCAGGTGAATATCCATGCAGATATTATAGGAACAGAAGAAAAGGCGTGTTGTGTAATTATTAGCAACGTACATGCAGACGCATTACTGTCCAGAAATAACCTAACAAAAACCGCGGTTAACCTACGTAGGTCGGACCGAGATCGAACCGCGGTGAACCCGATGTTGAACTTTGGTCGAACTCGGTCTGACAGACATTTCTTAACATGTTTTCGATTTGATTATTGTAATATAACATTCCATAATTTGGAAGCCAACGGCAACCGCGATCGAATTTTTTCAAAATGGTATTGGTTACACCACATGCCGCCGGTCGAGTTTCGTTCAAAAAACCTTGCTAGTTGAGTTTCTTATTTCTAGTATTTTAACTAATTCAAGTGAATTAATCCAGGATATATATATATGATATGGAAATATTAAGAACTTATGCAACTTTAGCCATTTGCTCTGGCTCTGAAGGTAAAAGCGCTGCGTCTGAGACTTTTTTGGTCCCCAAGAATGTCATAATTTGATAATTTATTTTAATAAACTGACGTTGTAACCGTAGGTTAAATTACATCAGGTTTTGCACAAAGAGAAATGGCAAAAAAATTATTTACATGAAAAATTGGCTATGTAATATCAACTATAAAAATTGAAATTTAGCATACATCATATATGTGTGTATCTTGTGGTTAGAGAAATCGCACACAAAGCATGAATGTATTGCATTAGCTAAAGGTGCTTTGTAGAGACGCTTGTATACGAGTTAATATACAACCATAGTCAGCAACCTTGATCTCATCATTATTTAAAACACGTGGAAAACGCAAAAAACTGTGAAGTCAGCGAAATTTAGCGATGTTTGTCCGCCTGACGTCACGCATATGTTCAAGAGCACGCGAGAAGTAAAAGAGTGTCGAATCATTTCGAAAAAAATTATATTTATAGGAGCATACGATAAACCTACGTTTGTAGGAACTGTGAAACAATTAAGTATACCATCATTTCCAACTGGAAGTACTGTAACAGTAACTTAAGGGCTTATTACATGGACTCTTTCCAGCCCGGGCTGAGTTGTTCAGCCCGGTTTTATTATGAAATACCAATAAAGTGTACCTCGCGATCATATGACAATATTTTCAGCCCGGGCTCAACTTTCTGCTCGTTTTAAGCTACTCGGACTGGGATTGTCATGTAATCGTAAACAAACTTAAACCCGGACAGAAAACTTTGCCTTGACAATGATTTTTTGTTTGTTTATTTCATTTTTATGTGCAGTCATAGTCCCTTAACGGTAAAGTTATTGTCATTCGGGGTTTTAAAGCGCTCGAAGAATCGAAATAGATCAACTATCAGCCTTTAGAAACTCAGCCCGGGCTGAAATTTCAGCCTGGTTTTAAAATCATTCTGACGTGTCACAAACACAGCCTGGGCTGAAAATTGCCATTTAGCTAATTGAAAAATACTTTAGGTCCGGTTTGCCAGGCTGAAATAACACCATGTAATCAGCCTCTACGTACGGTAACTGTTTTAATGTGTCCATTTTATCATTATATAACTTTCTTTTTAAAAATCCTCTATTCTGGTTGGTTGACGAGGAGCCAAAAACCCATATCCGGACCTCGGTCCGCATTTTCCGTATCTGAACAAGTATCTCGGTTGTTAACCTTTGCGCCATCCTCGCTTCTACGTCGCTCGATCCCCACTAAAATGCCTCGGTCTGATCTTTCACAGCACAGACCACACGCTCGATCAATAATCAGTTATAATTTTCGGAATATCAATTTGAATTTATTTTAATAAACGTTGCGAATGAGGAAACATCATCGTGCAGACATCAACGAAATCTGTGCTTTTGCTCTAAGAATTTCCACAGCTTTTTTCTAATTGTGCGTTTGGCGGATGATCCATGCATCCATTTATTCTTCGTTTTTATGTATATACAATGTACACAAATCGATCATCAGACGAATTATTTTTCTTTGCGCAAGCTCGTCAAGACTGACATGTAGTTTGCCGTTACTAAATATCGAGCTGTTCGTTTACTCAACAGTTCCTAAACTCCGTGCCTACTCTATCTCTTCGCCATTCCAAATTTAAAATGCCGACGTTAACGTTTGTTATGCATGTAGCAGGTAGCAGGCAGGGATGATAATGCAAGTAACAAAATGTTCGAATATTGGTTGTGATTTATTGTTAATCTTTTGTCAACAATATATAGCCCATATGAAGTTATATAGTATAGCAATTAGATTATTGTATTAATGCTGGCTTTATTTCTTACAAGCTAAACAGAACATTTTTAACATAAATTATCGAATTGGTGACGTGCGTTGAATTAATTTATTTTCTCTTAGCTATAACCAAAATTGTTTCTGTTTTGCGAGCAATGAGAGTGTTAGACGTACTAGAAGTGCACTCATTTATATACCGTAGTACGTATTTGACCGAGAGAAAAGAGACACATGAGGACTGAAAATCAACTGGAAGTTGTCTTTCCTTAACATGTGCAATTGTCTATGTTATAGCCAACTCTGAACTGAAAATAAGATTGAATGGTTCAAGTAACAATAATAATATGAGTGGAAGAGTGGAAATCTATCATCCAACACTTGGCTGGGGCACAGTGTGTTATTGGCGCGAATTCTTAACAGGTATGAAGATTACTGACGGTAACGTCACCTGTCGTCAGTTGGGTTTCTCTGGAGCGACCGAGATCAGACCCTTGGCTCACTATGGCAAAGGAAGTGGTTATGTATTGCTTTCTAATGTTCAATGCTCTGGTGATGAATCATTCATCTGGGATTGCAGTCATAATGGATGGAATAATCCTCCCTGGTACTGCGACCATGGTCGTGATGTCGGTGTGGATTGCTACTGAGATCACAATCATTCAAGGACACTGGGTTAGATAATAGACTAGATTTTCTTTTTCTTGCTGCTTACATAGTTAATAATATATGGTCTGTAATTTGACTAAACGGCCGAGCTTCAATTGCTTTAATAAGATAAAAAGGAGTTGGGACGCGACTGCAGAAAACAACGGCGACGTCTAGGATAAAATATCGGTACTGCGTGACATGCGACCACTGCACACTAACACATCCCAAGACACCAATGACTGGTCTAAACATAAATATCTTACTGAAAATTTAATTGAAATTAAGGCATTTCATACTAAAAGTGGTACATACTGACTATATGATATAAATATACGTATGAACAATCCATCTTTTCATTGGTTTAATCACAAAAAAAATTTAATCGATTGTGAGTTTCGTCCGCTGTAAAAGAGATATAAAACAACATTGAATCCGAAGATTAAAATTCTGATATATTTCAGCTTGATTATGCTCATAATCGGTTTGTTTCATTTTATAACAACGAGTTCCCACAAGCATTTCGAGTTGGAAAGGCGTACGTCGCGGGTTTGATTTCACTAGGGATGTAAATTACCTAGAAAATTTTGAGTATAGCAACATTTTATCAAAATAAATTGGTTAAATTTTATCAAAATTCCTAAAATTCAAAAATTTTCTTTAATTTCGCTAAAAACTCTGATATAAAGCCAGGCAATTTGTATTCGCGAGTTTGCTAATGTGGATCATGACAGCGCAGTGTAGCGGATTTCACGTAAATTACGCGCGCGGCGGAGCAATGTGTAATAATAACGGCATCCCTCAATTAACCTACTGGGAATTAACATGGTGTGGAAGGTTCGGTTGTATGTGTAGTTCGTAATGAGGGACACGTCTTCACCTAACCATTCAACCTCTTAAGTATGGTGACGTCATCCGAGATTTATAGCGAGTATAGCCTGCGTCTATAGAAGTCAATCTTGAGCAAAAATAGGTGAGAGGAAATTCTTTGTTTCCCATTATACCGATGATACTTACGAGAGACACCATTTTACTTTTGTTTCCAAGCTCTCAACAGCAATCATCTGGAACAAATTGCTTAAATACAAAAGAAAAGGGTAAATTCGCTGCCGTGAAAAACATCGTTCTGAATATAACCAGACAAATTGATCCACGACGCGAGATTGAGCGCAAAAAACAATCAAGAAAGCATTCAAAGAACATGCTTTTAGCTGTACCAATGCATGATGCATGGACTAGTCAGGAAATGTCAAAAGTTGCGAAATATTTTCCACGTCCCTGACAGACACGGCTAAAATAGCAAACCCCTAACGACGCAGCCGCGGAAAATGCCTACGTAAAGATTCACGTTGCTAAAGCTTCTTGGACTTGAGTATGCTAATTTTCACAAAATCCGCGCTAAACAATTTCGAAGACGTTGCTTTTGTATTCAGCGGAAGCGGTTCCTGTTTGAGCGATTTGATTGTAATTATTATATATTTGATGTTTTATAATTGCTCCGCAAAAAAAACAATTTCTTCAAAGCGAACAAATCCTTCGTATAATCATGTTTATCATGACTTTAACGGGTTATAAATAGTAATTTTGACAAGGTAATCTTACTGAAAGATTGCTTTATCATGCAAAACGCGAAAAAATACATGTAATGGCTTTAGTCGAGTTTCCAGACCATATATTTATTTCAGGGACAGTGGAGCAGGGTGGGAAAGGGGGATGTGGAGCTGTTTCTCAAATAACTTTCCTATTTCAATGACTTGGGAAACATATTGAAGTGCAGCAGCTTAATTTGAATAATTTCCGCGGTTGTGGCAAGTTGGAAAACCCTCACATTGGAGTTTGTTCAACGAATCGTAGGTTTAGACCCTCAATCCGATATTTTCTCCCCGGTCCCTGTGATCAGTTTAATGCTTCGTGCTAAATATTGTAATTCTAAAATAAGATGCTATCATCGTAATTAAGGTTGAAAGAAAAAAGCCGTTGCACCATAAACAAGAACTCACTAAAATCTAATTCCACGAAAAAATGTTTTGAAGCACCGTCAGCAGTACGTAATGAATGTTTTTGCCCTGTGGATGAATTGAAATGATAATCCAGTTTACTTGAAGAGAATTGTTGTTCAGGACAAACACATAGCAATTAGTGAAAAACATCATGTTTTGACGAAAGAGAAAGAAAATACTGTTTATCTGGACAAAGTCATATTTTGGTGAAAAAAGGGAATAAATATTGACTAATGCGGTGCAACATGCCATAATCTCCCTTGACTTTATGGTATGAAAGACATATCGTATATGGTGCAACTCGCTCTATATTTCATTTAGATTAGAATTTGTAGCATTTGTAGTATTGTATACAACAGTATTTTGTAGTTTTTAGACGCGTCTCAATGAAAGATTGTCAGTCAGCATGTTGGTCAGTCAGTCGGTTCCTACTTAAGTTTTAAAGTTGAAGGAACTTTGTGTTAATGCTTATAAGAACTAATTTGTGTAAATGATCATGGCTGATAATTGAAAGACGCGTCATTAGCGCTTATTTGATTCTTGTTCTTGTTATATTATAATCAATTATGTAATTAGTATAGCGCTGTCGTAACTGGCAGTTGCTATTGAATTTCCACCCAGTAAAAGTTTAAAAATTCCAACTTTCTTGTGTTGTCTTAATTCTGCTAAGTTATCTCAAACTGATGGTAATGTACTCGAGTAGTGGGTTACTCCATAGTATGGTTACTCTGACAGTGGCGTAACTACCAAAGCTTCAGACTGAGCCAACGCAGGGTCCAATAGTCATGTTTAAAAGGGCCTCGTGTAAAGAATGTATTGTACTACCATTAGGTTTTATGGGACATGTAAGGTTATTGGGGCGAGTCTAAGGGAGCTCCATAGTTTGGTGGCTAACCGAGCTCTAGCGCGATGCATTATGGTGCGTACGTGCGTATGTACACGGAACTTGTTTTACAGTGATTTAAATCCTACCGGTCTTTCGCCAAGCACCCGCTATTTTGAAAACATTCGGTTCAACTGCTATAAAGTGATTTACAGTAGATTTTGTCAAGGCACAAATGCAGATATTTTTGTTTCTACCCTAATCAATTTCTGAGTGATCAATGCGAAGTCCGGTTTCAAAAACATTAACACAACGAAGCTTTCTTTTGCGGGAAATCGACTACAAATTTGAGCCAATCAGGATGGATTTTGTTCCTAAAGCTACCAATCAGAGAGCGAGGTTATGCTGATGAGGTGATCGAGCCTCGAGGCGAATTCGAGAATCACAAGAAGTGATGGTTGGAAATTTGGAATATAATTTATTGTCGAAATAGTTGTCCTAAAATTCGAGTCTGCCGGAACAGAATTTTGATGAAACTATAGAAGAATATTATAGGAGGCTGTAGAATGCAATTACAGGTAATTTCAATAAAGATATGACTATAAATGCCTCTTTATTTGACGATATCGATATTGAATTTGACAATAGTAGTCAATAGTCATATAAACAGTCTTCAAAATAACCATTGCTGATCGCTGCCTTAAATGAGGATTGGTTTTGCCCCCTTTTTCCCGTTAAATCTTCTTAGTTTTTGTTCGGTTTTGCCGGTTAAAGTTCCGTCAAATCTATGCGCGTATTTTCAGTGTTTTAGAACTTGTATTTTTTGGGCAAACGCGAAATTTTTAGCACGAGGGATGTATTTATAATTTTCATTACCACGAGTCATGTATTTATAACTGCAAGTTTCGTTCGCTTTGATTGAATTTCTTGTAGTTCAAACAAGCATGTATTAATAAAGATTTTTTAGATTATTGCTTGCCCTTAAAGCATGGTTACTGGTGGTTAAGTGATTTGTGTAAGGCCTTTAAAACAAGTTTATTAGAGTTTCTACGAACTCTGGTGTAAAATTAATAGTTCTGATGCGGGAAGGCATTAAATAATCGGGGTTGACTTGACTTTTCAGTGAACAAATTTTAATCTGGGCAGTCAAATTGTATTCCTGTTAAATCTGTTCTCTCGAAATTGCATATTCTGCATTAAAAATGTTTAAAGAATCATAGTTGCTTCTATTTACAAGCATTTATCAATTATCATGGATGAAATTTCAGTCTTTGTCATGTGAGATATCAAAAACACTTGCTTTCATTCAACACCAGTGGCTAAAATTTTGGGCTTGGAGCATATAAAAACTATTTACTTATATGTAATGGTTTCTGAAATCTTTCAGCTGTCCTCAAACCAAGTGAATAGCCTTTTTTACATCCCGGACGGTGTTCTAATTCATAAGTAAAGGTGCTATAACCTATAGGTATAGTTGATGATCAGTTCATGGTCACACCTATGGGGTGTGGGGTATTAATGCCCCACCACTTGGAGTACAGGATTACCGGTAATTAAATCCTGCAAATATACATCATATATTCTGCAAAATCCACAAATGTGTGGACATTAGTTTCTTATGAGCATATATGTGAATTGTCAAAACTTGGATGCATATGAAATTGGGGATATCTGTGGTGGTACCAAACTTTTGCATCAATCAAGTCCTAACAAGCTTTATGCAAAGTCTTCTTTATAATGCTTAATACTTTGTCATTGTTGTAACGACCTGGTCCAAGGTTCGGTGCTCTGGGTATTCGATGCTAATTACCAAATCTTGTTGGTGGAACTTTTAGTAGTAGAAGCTCACGATCTAGCGCCAAATGCTATTTAGGATTTTTCTTTAAAGAAATTAAGAACATTGATCAAAGTCAACATTATTTCCAACATCTATCTCAGAATGTCAGGATTCTACTGGATAGCTCTATCAGTTCTAAACTGTTCTTCTTAGAGGTCCAGTAAGGATCTTCTCTTATTGATCCAGTGTTACTACAGGAGGAAATCTAAACTAAACTAACTTTATTTATACCAGATAGCTCTATCAGTTGATTTAGTTCTAAACTGCTCTGATTTCTTAGAAGTTCAAGACAGATATATTGCCTTCAACGATAGCATTACTTATTAAAGATTGTTCCTACCTTCCACAGCACGGGTCATTGCTCACAGGAACTCACGACAAAATCTTACTTCACGGCAAAAACTAACAGTTTAGTTCTAATAATTTTACATTATAATTTTCTTCTTTATAAATTGTGACAACCACGATTGTTTTTGTTGACGTTTTGTTGCTATAACAACGAAGGTACGGCGAGTCACGAAGTCGATTTCCGAACGCCCGAAGATATTCCCGCGGGTTTCGTGGATTTCGCGTGTAAGCAATATGAGCGAATCTTCCTGAGATTTAAAAGCAAAGTCGGTGAAGTTTTTCGCTTTTAAAACATAGAAGAAACGACGTTTGCAAGTAGAGATCATCTCTTAACAAAGATTAAGGTAAATGTTACACTCAACTATTTGGAATATATCCTAAATACTCATTTTAAGCGGACTTTTTAATCGAAAATAAAACAATGCAAGATTGATGCATGAATCCTGCTAAACCATGCCTAAATGCAAGGCTTACGTCAGGTCAAAAAGTTGACGGCATATATTCGACTGGTCGCCTTGAATTTTAACAAAGCGTAAGGATTTAATTGTAGTAGCTGGTGGTTTAATTTATAACTTGTCTAAATGAGACTAAATCTTTATTCATTTTGTTCAAATATTGGTCTTATAACACAAATGAAGTTTGGAGAATACTTTGTTACATATTGCTGTACTAAGTCAGTAACAGTAGCATTTTAGTTCAGCTCTTCTGCCTCGGTGAATTCATATCAGGACCTGCATTGATAGCAGTTGTATTAAACTAAAGCAGCTTCCTGACAAAATATGTTTTTATAAATAAATAAGACAGTGGACTCTGTGAATTCTATTTAGTTTCAACTAATATTTGATTTTTTATTTCACTATCCAGCATAGATGGGTGCAGCGAGGTCAGCACTGAGACGAAGTCTGCGTGGCCCGGTGCAGATGCAAAGGCAGATTGATAAAGTTTTGGATGGCCAACCTTCACTGGCACCAAAACATGAAACAACAAAAGACCTGCTTGATAGTGCAAAACAAGGTAAGGATTGTTTCATTTAAAGTTTAATGTGCTGTGAACCTTTTATCATGTTGAATAATTATACATTGTCATCAGTGGAAGAGTATTGTCAGTTAGTGAGTTAACAAAACCATTTGTCAGTGTCTCTTGTTAACCCATTTGCTTGCAATACACCCAGATGTCGCCTACTTTAGTATTTTACTCTGTCTAATGTCAGATGATTTTACTCATCAGTGGAAGAGTATTGTCAGTTAATAAGTTAACAAAACTATCTGTCAGTGTCTCTTGTTAACCCATTAGCTTGCAATGCACCCAGATGTCGCCTACTTTAGTATTTTACTCTGTCTAATGCCAGATGAATTTACTCTTCAGTGGAAGAGTACTGTCAGTTAATAAGTTAACAAAACTATCCATCTATAAAATTTAGAAAACCAAGCCAGATTTGATTTACATAACAAGAGAAGTGAAGAATATCTACAGCTCTTGAAACAAATCCGAGTGGACTCTGTCAAGGTTCCCGACAAGGTGATTATGTTTAACTTGTTTATTTCTGCATGCTTTTGCTATGAGTGTAAAAATGTACTCACTTTTCCCAATCATAATTTTTGAAGAACAACCCTCAGCCCGAAGAGGAATCCTTGTCTCCGACAACAGCTACAACAAGGCTTAGCACTGAGGAATTGACATTGTTGTTTCAACAGCGAATGAAAACCCCAGATGAATGGACAGCAGAGAAAATTGCATCACATTTTAAACTGTCCACAAATTCAGTTGAAAACTTGTTGAAATACTACAGTGATTTTACTGTTCATGTTGCCCCGAAAATTCCTGAGCCTTTGGAAGAGATTACACATTGAATATTAGCTGTTTAAAAATTATTGTATACTGGTGTAAAGTGGTATATATTTTATCACTTCTAAACTGTTCTTTCTAGAGGACCAGTGAGGATCATCTCTTATTGATCCAATGTTACTACAGGAGGAAACCTAAACTAAACTAAATTTATTGATACTGGATAGCTCTATCAGTTCTAAACTGTTCTTCCTAGAGGTCTTGTAAGGATCATCTCTTATTGATCCAATGTTACTACAGGAGGAAACCTGAACTGAACTGACTTTATTTTTCTGGATAGCTCTGAAAGGTTTGTGACCTTTATAAATAACCTGTAAATAACTAACTTTATCATTGAATAATAAAAGTTACTCAAATTTTATTTTTGTTAGTCATTGATGGTTTTTTAATAAATATGCGCAAAACATGCTAATTACTTGGCACGATTTCCTTCAGCGTTTTATAAAGAATTTGCCAAGTGGAAGCTTGTTATTTAAACTTCCTCGAAACGGAAATATATTTCAAAGGTTTTTGAAATATTTTAAAGTTTGTAAAGTGGAAGTTCAATGCTAAGAATCCTTGATGCGACCGAGAAGGAATTCCTTGGGAATAAGGAGCTAACAATTGCCAAAGCGGAAGCACGACGTGACACGTTATAGGAAATGTAACAAATTTGTAAACATTCGAAATTCGAAACATTCGTGGCTCGAAAATTCAAAACTGTTGCAATATAGCTACATTTTTAACCATCTTTGAGGCCTAAAACATGGTCAATAAAAATGCTCTGGCCTACGCGGCCGCAACATTTGGATCTAGTCTGATAAATTCAATTTTTGGATTCTTTTATGTCAAAACGTTCTTGAATATTTACAAGTGAGTGGCCATGATTTGTTCATTTGAATCATTTCTCTAAATTTATTCCAATGAAAGCTGTCGTTGGCTTGAAGTTCAATTTGATCTGTAGATTGACCATCTGAAACACATTACGATAACTTTTGAGCAAATCTTCGTTTGAAATGCAATTGAGAAGTCCATTCGCAAAACCTCAAAGTTTATCTGTATTTCTCATGTATATATAGTTTATTTGAAGAAACAGCTCTAGAATATGTTTCAAGTTTAAACAAAAAATAAATATAAACTAGAAGCACTTCATAACAATGTACAAGTCATTTACATTATTGAAAGGTCGAAATTCAATGATAGATTACCTACACTTATAACCCATTAATCGTGACAGTGAACTTTGAAATATTTTGAACACTTTATGTATATTGTATTTAATTTTGAAAACTTGCTATGACTTTCTACGTATTTGCCAATAGTAGACTGAAATTTTAATTTGTTGATATATAATTAATTGACCATCATCTTAACACCAAGTCTATGCACTAGCGAATAGATCAAGTTTATAGTAATTAGCTAGTTGAAGTAAATAATTTTCATATGCAACACCCAATCACTGATGATATTAAGCCCATGTTTACCAGGAGCTTAGCTAGACCTGGTTTGAGGAAGATTTTTATAGCATATAAACCACGGTTGGTGCCAGAAATTCCCCGATACAGGGGCTAAGGTTCCCAACAGGGGGTGCTAGAAGCTGGACTTCTAAGTGCTGAGTGTTGACTGCCGAAGGCTTCAATCAAAAAACAACGATCGAAACTCAAATTATATAGATCTATTGTTCATTCCCAGATGAATTGTAAAATTTCAGTGACAAGGGGGCTGGAGTTCCCCAACAGGGGGGTGGGGGGTGGTCTGTAAAGCCCACTCTCTCTGGCACCACCCCTGGAGTATTCTACCTTGCATAGCTGGCCAGGAAGTCTAGGTCATTTGTTCTAATGGGCTTACATTTTCCAGCTAATTAATATATATTAGTTTGGCTAATTATGAATATAATATAAATGACAAAAATCCACCATTTATTATCTGATCAGAGCATGGTTCTGAAACATCTATTAATTAATCAAGCCTGACAATAATTGTTTATAGTATATGTTATATATAAATCACTTCTGATAGTTTTTGATTTTTCTATTGTTTTTCAGAATAAATGGATGGTGGTTCAACACAGCCCAAATAATCTACATGATTTGGAATGCCGTCAATGATCCACTATTCGGCTATTTGCAGGTATGCAAGAAAAATGCATGATCTCGTACCATTTCAATGATGTCGTTTGTATTTGAACTGCCAGAATGTGGTGGGCCAGTGTAGGTACCATTCTATTGTGTCTGAACTACAGAAGGAAGATATCTCAAAACGTGGTGGTCGAGTGTAGGTAGTATTCTACAATAAGCTGTCCTGGTTTGTGTCTGAACTACCTGAGAAAGATATCTCAAACGTGGTGGTCCAGTATAGGTAGTATTCTGCAATAAGCTGTCGTAGTTTGTGTCTGCACTACCTGAGAAAGATATCTCAAACGTGGTGGTTCAGTGTAGGTAGTATTCTACAATAAGCTGTCGTGGTTTGTGTCTGAACTACCTGAGAAAGATATTTCAAACGTGGTGGTTCAGTGTAGGTAGTATTAATTCTACAATAAGCTGTCGTGGTTTGTGTCTGAACTACCTGAGAAAGATATCTCAAACGTGGTGGTTCAGTGTAGGTAGTATTCTACAATAAGCTGTCGTGGTTTGTGTCTGAACTACCTGAGAAAGATATCTCAAACGTGGTCGTTCAGTGTAGGTAGTATTCTACAATAAGCTGTCATAGTTTGTGTCTGATTAACTAACTGAAAATGTATGTAAATTTTTTAATTTTAATATTCATTACAGGACAGTTCAAATATTAAGATATTTCGAGTGAGATCTTTGGCAGTGTTAGTTGGAGCCCCGTTATATGCCTTGAGGTATGAAGTTAAACATTCATATGTACTTGATTCCAAAACACCACTTGACTGATTTCCATAATTCAAACGTTCGAAATTCAAATATTGTTTACAACCCTCTACCCTTTCCAAGCGTTTTAACAAAACAAACGAAATCAACCTAACGTATGCCCCATAAAAGAGATTTTGTATCAACATATTTATCGCTAATTTTGTATTTCGCCATGATCGAATGTACCGGAATATGGTATCCACGAATATGGTCGGTATAACGTTTTCCGGCCATATTTGGCCATGGTCGAGTATAACGTTTTCGGCAATATTCGACCATCAGTGGTCGAGTATACCATATTCCGACAATTTGCCGCAATCGTGAATAGAAGTAGGTTTTAAATGAGTGTACGCGACGGCCGCTAGCTCTTTGAAGCTGCATTGACGAAAAGCCAAAAGGTATAAATAAGCATTATTATATACCTAGTGTCAAAATTCATCTTTTTGCTTTTCTATTGGAAAAAATCTATCAGCTAGCCGTTTTGTTGACGTTTCTTGCGTCCTCCTTCGGCGAACAATTGTTAATTAAACCAAATATTTTAATTACAAAACCAAAGATGTTTTTTTAAAAATACAAATCTGTTGTAGAAAATACATATTTCGCAAATGTAAACAAGTAGCTCGACAGTTTACGGCGATTCAAATAAAACAATATTTCAGTAAAATAAAAGTAAAAGCGTTTTACAACGTAGTTTTACCTCGAAATAATTTTAGGCCTAATTTTTTTACTTCTTTTTAATGCTTTTCGTTAAAATAACTTATTTCTTCATCAGTCACTTTAACATAAACATCTCGCCGCCATTTTGAATAACCGCTTAGTTGATTACTCGAATACGCGGGAAAATGGTATACTCGACCATTGTCGAATACGCCGGAAAATTGTATACTCGATCATGGTCTAATACGCCGGAAAATGGTATACTCGACCATTGTCGAATACGCCGGAAAATTGTATTCTCGATCATGGTCTAATACGCCGGAAAATGGTATAGACAGGAAAATGGTAGAGACTGGCACGTATGCGGCACACCGGAGTTAACGCTTGAACAGTCGTCTTGTTTTTTTTATTAAAATAACTTATTTCTTCATCAGTCACTTTAACATAAACGACTCGCCGCCATTTTGAATAACCGCTTAGGTGATTATCGCGTAATAATCTCATGTGGCTCGACCAATCAGAGGCCAAAATTCCAATAATCACCTTTCAATAATCATATTTGTAATTGTACTAAAATTTGTTACCTGACGCGGTTTGTCGACTAATGAAAGAAAGTCACTGACAATTACACAGTTTGGGGGGAGTTTTCCCTTGACAGCACCCCCCACCGCCCCTGGCCTTGGCAGAATAATTACCTACTTTCGAGGGCTGCAACCTTGCAATTAATTTCGACGCTTTCTTTGAAATCTACAGTGTAATGTTTAAGTTCGTTAGGGTTTAACTGTCACATAGGCCATATCTATTTAAGCTATTGCGAATAAGTACATTCATATTGCATTTTTCATTTTGTATAGTTTCCTAACACCATGGTTTCCACTGATCTCAGAACGGCCTGAGTGGATGGTTGGTCTCCATCTTCTTTTCTCACTTTGTTTTTTCGATTCGCTGTTCACCTTCGGTAATGCTAATTGTAAAAACATATCAGTATTATGTAAAAGAATTCGCGCTCTCTAATTGGCTAATAGCTATGTGAGAAATCGACATGTCTAACGTGTGATGTCATAACGTGTGAAGTCATAACGTGTGACGTCATAACGCGTGACATCATAAATTGTGACGTCGTAAATTGTGACGTCATAACGTGTGACATGACTATTTTCATACAGGCTATTACGTCATAACGTTTTCAATAATTGTTAATTAGCAAGTATAATGTTGATCCGAAAAGCTCTTTTGCATTATGCAAAAATATACATTAGCTAGCAATCAAATTTTGTGATTTTGTGATTTTGTGATTAGCTCTTTTGAACTGTTGCGACAGATCTCGTCGCATTTTGTTCCCATAAAAACGTTTGTCTAATATCAAACCAAAGAAACCCATAATTTACCCATCAAAATTATTTTGAACAGACTTCACTTACATGTAAATGTCTCAGTTTTCCCTGATCCAGTGGCGTAGCCAGCCCGACAATTTAGTCATGCTATGCTAATATTTTGGTGTTCATTGACTGAGAAAACAATGAATTTCTACAGAAATGAATAATGATAACATAAAATTTGCATAGCATGACTAAATCGTCAGGCTGGCTACGCCTCAGGGCGTGAGCTTAGGTTTTATAGTTGACCATTGAACTATATCCTAACTTTTCTTTTGTATAATTTATTCTCTAGTTTTGCTGGCCCATTGCGCGCTATTTACTGAAATTTCTCCGTCAGCAAATGACAGAGCCCAGCTGCTGAAATACAGGTATTTTCATCGAAATTTGCCTGGATTTTGTTCCTTACTTTCGAGGCACACTCTTTTCTGGTTTCAAATAGTTTTAAAAATATTTTTAAATGTTTTTTAAACGTGTTTCTTTTCCTTTTTATGTTATAGTCAGATAGCTTCAATCATGGGGTCGTCTGCCGTATTTGTTGCCGATTATGTGTCAGATAGTGTGAGTAGGTTTTTACTTCAGTAAAATCATCTGGCATTAGACAGAGTAAAATACTAACTTTTAGTAGGTGGCATCTGGGTACATTGCAAGCTAATGGGTTAACAAGCGACATTGACAGATAGTTTTGTTAACTGACAGTACTCTTCCACTGATGAGTAAAATCATCTGGCATTAGACAGAGTAAAATATTAAAGTAGGACACATCTTTGTGCATTGCAAGCTAATGGGTTAACAAGAGACACTTGCAGATAGTTTTGTTAACTTATTCACTGACAGTACTCTTCCACTGATGAGTAAAATCATCTGACATTAGACAAGGTAAAATACTAAAGTAGGTCACATCTGGGTGCATTGCAAGCTAATGGGTTAACAAGAGACACTTACAGATAGTTTTGTTAACTTATTAACTGACAGTACTCTTTCACTGATGAGTAAAATCATCTGACGTTTGACAAAGTGAAATACTAGGTCACATCTGGGTGCATTGCAAGCTAATGGTTTAACCTTGACTATTACGTTGTTTACAAAATTCATCACTGACTGGTTTTCAAACCCCCATATAGCAAAAGAATTTTGTCAATTTTCAAATACTTTGCGTCATTGTTGCGATAATAAGTTGCGTGGCCATGTGTTACGCTGGACTCAATGTGAAAGTGGACAAAAAATATGAACCAGTTATCGACGAGAAAGGTATAGGGTCAGCTTGTTTCTAATTTTTTTCCTTTTGGTCCAGTGTTACCAACGTTCAGAACTTCAACTTTTTTTTTTGTAGGGGACAAAAAAAATGGGCCTACATCAGTCTCTTGGTGGTCACTGACCTTTCAAATATGCAAACAGAAGAATTTCGGTGAGTAATTTTTGTCTTCCCCAACAATAAAATGTTCCTCTTATTTCCTCTGTAATATTTTTCTTTTATCTTGCAGTTTGCTTTGTGATAATGAATTTTCTACAGGTGTGTACATGAACAGACTATGATTGATAGGGCTATCCAGTATAAATAAAGTTAGTTTAGTTTTGCAACACTGGATCAATAAGAGATGATCCTTGCTGGACCTCTAGGAAGAACAGTTTGGAACTGATAGAACTATCCAGAATAAATAAAGTTAGTTTAGTTTAGGTTTCCTCCTGTAGTATAAGACTGGGTCAATAAGAGATGATCCTTACTGGACCTCTAGGAAGAACAGTTTAGAACTGATAGAGCTTTCCAGTATAAATAAATTTAGTTTAGTTTAGGTTTCCTCCTGTAGTAACACTGGATCAATAAGAGATTATCCTTACTGGACCTCTAGGAAAAAGAGTTTAGAAATGATAGAGCTATCCAGTATAAATAAAGTTAGTTCAATTTAGGTTTCCTCTTGTGGTAACACTGGATCAATAAGAGATCCTAACTGCTTCTCCCTATTTAGATATTCCACACAACTTACAGCAGTAATTTCTTTTTAATCTTTGCTGAAGAACTGATGGGTTCTCAATTACCTCCAGTGAGTGAAATATTAATATTCATGTAGAAAAGTGTTCATAAATAAACACAACATAAATAAACATAATTAATTTGCTAGAGATGGGGGCGTGTCGAAGGTCATGGTACTTGAGTTGTAAATTTTAAAATTGTTATCCACATTTGTAAATTGTGAATATTGAAAACAAAAATCATTTATGTTTATAAACAACTTTTACTGTGATCATGCCTAAAAAGCTTATGTCAAATATTTATACACTTGTGGGTCCCAACAGGGTATTCAGGCATTCAAACTCTAACTATTACATTGTTATTGGGTGATTTCAAGAGTTTTTTGCGGGTTTTGAGGCATGACGATGATCACGTTGCATGACGGACTTGTTTTCATGGAAAATTCAATTTGAATTGACTTTGTATATATTTTCTTATCAAGTTTGTCCGAAGTCTTTTGGCTGGATCAACATTCATGATACCACAGGTATTGAGCAAGGAAGAATTTCGTTTTAAACTAATCGCCATATTTGTTTACATTTTTCAGGCAAAGCCAATCAGAATGCCGAAATTTTTAATACTTCATGTAAAATGGTCTATATTGTACTTTTTGTCAAAATTTTTATGCATTCTAATTGGGTTACTGAAAATATAAACAAACTTGCTGATTGGTCTTAAACGAAATTCCGCCGTGTGGTTCAGGTAGCGTGAAATTGTGTTTTTGCATCTGTTTCCCTTTATACAGGTAATTCGGTTAAGCTTGTCTTCTGAAGGTCAACTTAAAACATCAAAACTTCGACTTCTACGACGGAAAGGCATATTTGATTTATAAAAAATTCATTTATATTGTTGCTATTTGGTCATAACATTTTTCATGCAGTTATAACGTCCTGAAAAAGTTGTTAAAAGTTAAAAGTTAAATGAGTAAAGAAATATATTTATATTTCGCTTGCTTTTCGGTCGTACAGGTCGAGGTTTTTAGGTTTAATGTTTTGACCTTTAGAGGAAAACCTTAATTAGCCTTTCTCACGATGACGTATATCTGCCATTTTTGGGGCACTTTCAATTTTCGTAAATGCGTTTAAACAATAATGGCATTGTAAGAAGCATTTTTTAGGAGTCTATAGACCATTTGAACAATAAATCAGGCTTAAAATTAAAGACAGCTGCCGTGACAAGGTCTTGCGCTCGCAATATAAAAAAGTACCCCAAAAATGGCGGCACATTCGTCATCGTGAGAAAGGCTAATTGAATTAGCTGTAATACAAAGCCGTGGCAGTGTGGCACTGATCTGATACTGCACTGGATATAGCAACGATGCTATCGAAAAATGCTCATATACAATCTGTTGCTATTTCACAGATTCTTGGACTACTGGCAAATCCTCTCATTGTAAAATACGGATCCTATCACATAATTCTGAGCTCATTTTATATCAAGGTTCGTTGTAATCGTGTAATATCTGATGTCGACCATTGTTTATATCTGGACACATCTTAGAGAAATCCTCAAAACCAGGGTTTTCACAACTTATTTGCGTATGGCTGTCCTAAACTTTTGAAAGAATGCATAATATATTCTATTAACACAGATCACTCCCTCCCTTGTCGTTGTCAATTGCAACGAAATTTCTTTGCATTGTGGAAACCCTGCTTAAAATAGCTTACTCAAAACTAATCGCAAATATCGGATTAATAGATATACTTTTTTTCAGCTTGTAATGGCTGTTTTGCTGTACTTGAGTGGACCAAATCAAATTCTTATTTTGGCTGCTTTCTTTGTGCTTGACAAGTAAGCTGCATGGTTGCATTGACTTTAATGCATTTTGAAACTCTATATTACTCTATAAGACCTCGAAAAGGAAACCTTTGAAATGAATAAACGCTGTCCAGTAAAACTGAGTTTAGTTTAGGTTTCCTTCTGTAGTAACACTGGATCAATAAGAGATGATCCTTACTGGACCTCTAGGAAGAACAGTTTAGAACTGATAATTAAAAGCTATCCAGTATAAATAAAGTTAGTTTAGTTTAGGTTTCTTCCTGTAGTAACACTGGATCAATAAGAGATGATCCCTACTGGACCTCTAGGAACAACAGTTTAGAACTGATAGAACTATCTAATATAAACAAAGTTAGTTTAGTTTAGGTTTTCTCCTGTAGTAACATTAGATCAAACACCGTAGCACTAGGAAGAACAGTTTCAAAACTCCAGCACCTTCACCAATTCAAAAATGCCGTGTTCTTTTCTCAAATTTCAGGAGTATTCCTAGCGCGACATTCTCCCAGTTCAATATACCTCTCTCTGATATTATTGACGATGATCTTGCGAAGCATAAACGAAGGTAGGAAATAACTATTAACACGGGCCAAATGTTTTACATCATAGAGAATATCAAAGTTGATATCTCGTCATTCGGTTTATTCAAACACCTATTTGGTGTAGGAATGGCGTAGCCAGCCCGACAATTTAGTCATGCTATGCTAATGTTTTAGTGTTCATTGACTGTGAAAACAATGAATTTCTAAGGAAATGAATAAGGATAATAACATAAAATTTGCATAGCATGACTAAATCGTCAGACTGGCTACGACACTGTTCCTGAATTCCCTTGAGTTCTCACAAAACAATAGTTTGGAAATTAGGCGGGAGATATAATCCATTCATAGTGGGATGGTTTTTAATGACAGATAACAAATTCTGGAAGTGTCTATTTGAAGACGTGTTTTCCAAAAAGGAGAACCATTAAAAACTGCAAGATAACTGCCCATATTAGCGTTCTTTTAACCGAGTGGCAGTTGTTTTGGGGGTATCTTCAGGCCACTGAACTCAATTTTATTATCTGGAGTAATAACAGGCATCGATTTTAGCGGGAAAAAGCTTGCGTGATGTTAGCGTTACATTTTGCTGCAGTTTTCACAGCCAGTTATCATTCCAGATAAGAAATCATATTGAGGTCTGTGCTGATCCAGCGCAAAGCTTCATGCGGGGGTACAAATTCCGTACGGCGTTTTTGAAAACCCGGGTATTGTGTGGGAGCAAAATTGCCGGCCGTTATGTCATGGCCTGTTGACCTTGGATGGTCATTGTTCGTTATGCGCATGCGCGAAATTGTTAAGCATAAACATTCTCATTGGCTGAGACAAAAGTTTGTATTTTAGTAAGGCCATTAGCAAATTAACTGTCATTTCGCAAACTCTCGTAAAACTAGTTGAAAACAATGGAAATTAATCCAAAAAAAAGGAGAAATTGAACAACAGGGATTCTGTTCATAGGCTGTTCCCATCATCAGTTTAATTTTAAAAGGTTTTTACATTCAGCATTAATTTGATGTACACAAATTCACTATATTAAAACACTGGAATCAAAGTCTTATTTAAGTGGAAGTTCCGACAATACCGAAATCCTTGCATCACGATTGAGATCTTTGTCTCAAAACTAAACTAAATGTTTTGTATTCAAAATAACAGTTTTATCAATCTACGATTCTGAGTGTGGTAATTTTGAAAATTCTCAAAATTTGTAATTACAAATTACATTATTATTTATAATACATATTTTGTCATTCTGACCCTACAAATTTACATTCAGTCTATGATATTGATTCAATATTGATATTGAAATATTTTATTTGTTTATTTAATAATACGTATTTTGTCATTTTCACTGTACAAAGTTAAATTCAGTCTCCAGGTTTTGTTCTTGGGAATATCGATGTGAAATTGATGACCTGTAGGCAAATGTAGCGACAGTTTGGCTGCATCAAAATCTATGATTAGCGAAACCTCGTCACCTTCTTTAGTACGATTTTCTAAACGTTTGTTTCTTGTAACTGAACCTTCTCTCCACATTCCTTGACCGCCATTAGAACCGAGGGTCCAGCCATATGAACCAGGCCATCCATATGAATAGTTATCAGGTTGTACGACATCTTCTTTAACTATTCCAATGAACATCCAATGATTATCTTTAAACGTCTCCAACTTCAACTTAATATTCACAATTCCTTGTTGATAAATATTTTCACCAAGAACATATTTGTGTTCCCGTGTTTCATCATGAACTGCGACTTTCCCGTGTTCTTCAAGAGTGACTCCTGGGCTGTGCAAGTTGAATTTCTCGCCAGGCACAATCCCAGTTGAAATGATTTCATCACCCAAGCCAAGATACTCGACCAAACTGTAGAAATCTTCGAGAAGTCTTCATGGACTTTTAACTTCGGCAGTATTTGAGGTATTATCTTTTCCCTTGAATAATCCAAAATATAAGCAAAATATTGTGGATTAAAATCAAAGAATACAGCGCCATCTTGATCACGCTCGACACTATCTTCCCAGCGACCGCTGAATATTGTAGCGAACAAGGAACCTTCAACCTGACAGAGAGTTGATCTTTTGGCTGTAAATTTTTGTCCACCAACGTTCAGACGAATGATATCGTCTCTGACTACGAAGGCTTGCATTCGTTTCTTCTCCTCGTTAAATGCTTCGACTTTCGTGTTTACCTTACCTTGCTTCGTTTCAATATTTCCCTCAACTATATTAAATGCATCTGTTATTGTTTGTCAACGCAATAGAAATGACTTTCAGTTTAGTTTAAAGACGACAACACAGTATTTGTAAGCACGTAATGAAATACTAAATCAATATTAATTTCCTGGTAAAAGCACTTCCGCGAAGCTAATGCCTGATATTGCGAAATCTAAATATTTCTCTGTGTCGTTTCTATGTCGCGTAATATATGCTCAAAACCTCAGTTATATCTTCATGCAACACCAAAATTTTCGGCATTAAAAATGTTTTGCAAACCTGAAAAGCATCCACAAAGTATGTTTACTGTATAATCTCAAAATATTGTGAAAATGAAAAGATTTCTCGGGATACGCCGAGAAGAAAATGACACTTGAATCGAAGCTTCTTTTGTATTCATTTCAGTTATAATGGCGTTGACATTATAACATTGTTGATAGCCGCCGCATTATATTTTGTAATAACTCCTTTGTTTGGTGTTTTGCATTTACCAAATACAGTTCAAAACTTAGTTCACAATATTATCTAAAGAATAACGGTAAAATAAATATAATTTGAGTGGTACGCCGAAAAGATTTTAGGTTTTGAGCGTTTTCCCGCCAAAATACGCGACATAATAAAAAATCTCCTTTTAATAGTTTAATATTAAATGAGACACGCGATTCATATAAATAGTTAGCTGGTGTTACGACTTCTAATTATTATTTTTTAACAACTCCGAGTTAAACTTGAGACCCACAGATGTTTGTTGAAGTTTATTGATACTTTTAAGAGATGTATTTTTTGCAATAGACTTGAAATAATATCGTCGTCTGAACTCGTGGCATTATGGCCACATATGATATTGTGTTCTTACAAGAAATCACATCTCTCAAAAGTGCACAAAAATATTGAAATGGTAATTATATATGCGGTTGAATCGGTCTATTATCATTCTGACGGGTGCAAAAGACGGTTTCTGCCACAATCTTTCTGATTTTGTTCAGGACGGAATTTGAAATACCACGTTTGTACGTATGTTTATCAGTTTATATACGTTCAGATACGCCGGAGTAATGTGTAATTGGTCGAGTTTTATCTTGCAGTCAGTGCCCTATTGAAATAATTATACTACAATTAAGTAATTTCACTGATGAAGGTCCGGGTTAACGGACCGAAAGCTTTGCAGTATTAAATACTTACGTGGTGTACCCACAAGCTAATTTATTTGTTGATGTCACCATGCAAACATACAAGAATATTATACTACCATTAGTTACAATTATTACTATTTTACGTTTGTCGAGGACAATACAAAAATATAAAAGATTTTGCTTTCTATCGTTGCCGTTCTCAGTTGACTAACTCTCTGATATTGAACCGAAGCCTACGATTTGACTACATTTGCACGAACCAAATTTTCATTCAGTCTCCAGGTTTTGTTAACGTTCTTGGGAATATCGAAATTGATGACCAGTGGTTAAACGTAGCAAAATGTTGTGGATTAAAATCAAAGAATACAGCGCCATCTTGATCACGCTCGACACTATCTTCCCAGCGACCGCTAAACATTGTAGCGAACAAGGAACCTTCAACCTGACAGAAAGTTGATTTTCTGGTTTTAAATTTTTGTCCACCAACCTCTAAAATAAAAATATCGTCTTTGACTGGATCGGCTGACAGTCGTTTTACTGCCGCGTTTCTTGACTTTCTATACGCCTTGATAATTTCGCCAAATTATTATATGTATGCTCCTGCTCATTTTGACTCGTTCTCAACGCAATAGAAATGACTTTCAGAACAAAATCGTTTGCTTGGAAATAAACTTGTAATTATAGAAATGGTTTGTTTAGAAACAAATGTTTTAATTTTAAATGCACAAAATTGTTACATTTAGAAACTACCAACTAAAATTGCACTGTTGTTACAAAACTATTTCATGCTAATATTTGTTATATAACGCTATATTCTGCGTCTTCGACAGTAATATTTAACTGGATGAGCAATTTCGGGCAATCTAAATCATCACGATTAATAACTTTTTCACCTAAAGTTTTGTTAAAGGATCTCACTGACGCGCCAACCATGGAATGGTCAGTTATTTTTTTAATTTGTTTATTAAATTGGTTTAACACACATTTTACTACTTTTGAGACGATCGACTGACATTTTATAAAACTAAAACTAAATATTCATGCATAATATTTCATTAAGACAAGCACAAGTTAAGTATTTGGTCCAATTTCATATTGCAGTCAGTGACCATTAAATTGAAATTCCCCTTGTTCTAAGTTTTGACGAACGAAAATTGTAAGGTTATTTTGCCTAATTCTATACTTTCTTTGTATTTAGTTCGCCAATTTCATCGCTTGTATTTGGTACGAATGCTTTGTTTACAAAACCAGCGCAGTCGTTCGCGCCAATGTTGATCGTTGCCATCTTATCAAGCTACGGTTATGACGTAAGCAATGTTTTGGTCACTTCGTCCCATTCCGTCCCCCGTCGGAACACGACGGAACTTCACGAAACTCGTAGTAAATAAAGTTTATGCTATTCTCAAATGTCGCCGATGATCTCAGTATACACTGGATGTAGCAACTGCACCTAAAATATTTCTCTAAAGTGTGTGATTTTTATCACATAGGACAAAAGCCACACGATGAAACCAACTACTAGTCCAGGTATGTGTTAGAAAAGATATCGAATGTAGTATTCATTTACTGACAGTAAAAATCATCTGACATTAGACAGAGTAAAATACTAAAGTAGGTCACATCTGGGTGCATTGCAAGCTAATGGGTTAACAAGAGACACTGACAGATAGTTTTGTACTTCTAAAGGTTCATTATCGTCGTCTGCAGATCTTAAAACGGTGATGTTCAACGTGATGTGTTTCCTCCCAGCAATCATCGCCATTTTACAAATACTGGTGTGGAATAGTTACACTCTCCGAGGCAGAAGAGACAAAACTCCTGAGGACGAAAGGTTTGATCTCCAATAAAAGCAAGTAAGCTTCTATTAAGGTAGCTCAATAGGACAAACTATAGGAAGGTATATATTATGGGAAGGTATATTTTTTCCTCTTAAATGTTTGACAGTGTAGAATTGTCCTTCAATCTAGTTCATTGCACAGAGCCCTGGGGCCGGTTGTTTAAAAGCCGGTTGTTTAAAAGCCGGTTGCTCTGAGTTAAAGCAAATTTTCGCATCATTTTTTTAATCGCTTATTTACAAAGTTGACTATCTTTTTCTGTAAGTATTTTCTCGATTTTCTCTTGATAATTGCATACAATTTCTCGTGTAGTCTAAAGAGGGCTTTAATTTTCATGCAATCTGTAATGGTGTATTAAACATGCGCACTTTTAGACCACACGTAAAAGCATGTTGTTGACGACTATTAACAATTAATTTTACTGCTCGCTAAGAAACCAGTTCGCAAAACTCGTAGCTGAAAATAAAAGATGTTGATTGCACAATTCAGGCACTGACTTCCCTTTAACTATCATCAGCTCAAGGTCGTGAAATTTTTGAGATGAAAACTCTGTGAAATCTAACGACAGGTTTACAATATACCAGGAAGCATGAAAAAGTTGCTTAAACTCTGGGATGTCGTGAGTTTCATAGTAAATTTTTTATGCATTTTTTTTCTCAAACCGAGTAAGTTTCCACAGAATTCGAACTCTGGTGTAATAAGGGTTTGATATTAGACTAAATATTACCATACAGAAATTATGTGTTATTTACGAAAACATATTTTTAAATTTAACCCCAGTTTAGCGTTGAAAAAGGCTATTTCGTCAATAACTTTGCAAAATAACGATAAATCAATCGTGTATATACATGGTTTTGAGACTAAATAAAAGCACAATACAACTCATTAACTATGTTATTGTCCGGATTTATGCAAAAAATGGTTCCTTTCTCTTCACGTGTCTATTGTATTTTAGCCAAACTTACCAATGGCATTCGTCTCGCTAAGTTCCTTAACATTGACTTGAAAAAAATGTTAATTATAAGATTGCTATTGATTTATATCTGCAAAATACAATAGATATGTGATGAGAAAGGAACAATATTAAACGTAAATCTACCTCGACATAGTTAATGAGTTGTATTGTAGTTTTTTATGTAGTTTCCAAACCATGTATATTCTATTAACTATGATGCTATTCATGCATTACTTACGACACATCTCAACTAAATAATCCATCGTAATTAACGCTACTCTGGTTTTAATAAATGAAAGTAATAACCACACAAAGATTAACTTTCACGACCCAACGTTTCGACACTCCCGTCTAGTGTCTTCATCAGAGGTGATCTGATGTTCAAACTCGGTTCCTTATATACTCTCAAAATGACGTCATCTATCAATCAGGGGCCGGTTGTTCGAAAGGCGTTTAGCCTAAACGGTGAATAAGTTGAAAATAGAAAACCAAATTATCTATTTATTGAACAACTGAGCTAAAATATTTCGATGTAAAAGGTTTAATTGTCAATGGAAATACATATCAAATGCATAAGATGCAGGTTCAGTCATTCACAAGACCTATGAGAGTATTTTTAAACTTTGGCCTGTCCACCGTTTAAGCTAAACGCCTTTCGAACAACCGGCCCCAGATGTAAATATTCTTTTGGCAAATAGCTTCCGTCATCCCTATTTAGGGCACAAAGACTCGCTTTAATATGCCAGGCTCCCAAACAAAGCCTTGGTCCATAACGATCATTAGTGGTAATGACTTTTGAATCGTTCCACGCAATGTTATGGTTAGTTTGACACACGTGTTCGGCCAAGGCTGATTTTGAACTGTCTAAGTTCGAAACGGCCTTTTCATGTTCTTTTAAACGTGTGCCTTACTGGCGTTTTGTTTCAGCTAGATATTCTTTCTCGCAATCACCACATAATATACAGGGTGTCCCAAAAAAAAAGCAACCACTTAAATATGCAGAACATTAATACAGCTCTAAAGCGCAATAGATAAGCACCTCTGGGAATTGAAAATGGCTCTTAATCCTTCATTTACAATGCTAAAAGTCATTTTAGCTTGAACTATGGTGCAAACCCGAACAATAATAATATTCTTGCATATTTAAGTGGTTGCGTTTTTTTTGGGACACCCTGTAGAGTAACAGCATGAGTTTCAGTTTAGTCGCTACGCGATCCTTGGGTTTCGCGAAAATATGTCCCCGTGTCTGAAAGGGTTTTAAAGCAACTTTTATACCACAATTATTCAGGATCCTCCCGATTGGTTCTGCACTTCCCTGAATGTATGGAACTACATACATGTGTGGTGATTACTTTCATTTATTAAAACCAGAGAAGCGATAATTACGATGGAATTTAAACATGCTTTGGTTATGATGTCAAATATTTTGATATGGTTAACCATATAGGCGTACTGGACAGGCTTCAGGGGGGGAGGGGCACCTGCCATTCGATAGGGCAGAAGTGAATTGGATCCAGCAAAATTGTTTCGTGTGAACAGATCTTAATTCGTGCGGAAACTTCGACCTATCTTCAAAGTCTGCTCTTGTTATCTTTATCAAACAATGAATATCAAGATCCACCCTTGGTACCTGATGGTCCCTGCTACCCTCTCGTGTTCCTTCGCTTACATGTTGCCAGTGGCAACACCACCCAACGCAATCAAATTTTCGTCTGGTAAGAGCCGTTAACTACCGTTCACTGGACAACCACGCTTGAGATATCTTTTTTAGGTAGTTCAGAAACAAACCACGACAGCTTATTGTAGAATACTGCCTACACTGGACCATTACGTTTGAGATATCTTTTCCAGGTAGTTAGACACAAACCACGACAGCTTATTGTAGAATACTACCTACACTGGAACACCACGTTTGATATATTTTTTTAAGAAGTTGAAACACAAACCACGGTAGATTATTAGCTACTACATGTTTTGATATCTTTCTCAGGAACAAGGGGTAATTTCGTTTTAGATCAATCAGCAATTTTAGATTACTGTCTAATGCCAGGTGATTTTACTCATTACCGGAAGAGTACTGTCAGTTAAAAAAGTTAACAAAACTATCTGTCAGTGACTATTGTTCACCCATTGTGTTGCAATGCATCCAGATGTGACCTACTTTAGTATTTTACTCTGTCTAATGCCAGATGATTTTACTCGTCAGTGGAAGAATACTGTCAGTTAATAAGTTAACAAAACTATCTGTCAGTGTCTCCACAAGCTTGCAATGCACCCAGATGTGACGTACGTTGAGATAGACTTACTGGAAGTTTGCATTTGTTCCTTCGTGGTTATGAATACTACTGCAATCGTGAACTTTGGTGAAATGACTCAGGACACTGAAAATCATAAATACCGAAATAGTTAGAATAGAATCGATTTCTATATGATAAAGCTACTATAATCGGGTCGTGAAATGTCATCAGGAGATTGCAATTGCATAAATGATAAATGTCATTGCTCAGTATAAAACTCTTCAATGTATTTTAGGCAATACCTTTTGCTAGATTTAGATTCTGTGATTGTGATTGTGATTGTAATTCTGTGATTTTATCGTAGCAAGGTCGACATATAGTTGTATTCGTAGTCATTGCCTTTCGGTTCTTCGTTGCAGGAACAACACTACATGGAAAAATATGTTTCTGTGATTTTTGGGTTTGATCTTTAAATATCAACTATATTCCTCTCTTTTTTCTATGACTATCTTTCAGTGAGGGCCGTAGCTAGACTGCTTAATTGGGGGGGGGGAGGTGTATATTCAAATATTCATGTTTATATACCATTGGAACAATAGCGTACAAAACAAATCAGTCGGGCATAGGACCAATATATGAATATACACCCCCAAATTAAGCTTCTAGCTACGGCCCGGCTTTCAGTTCTAAAGTGTTCTTCCTAAAGGTCGAGTAAGGATCATCTCTTATTGATCCAGTGTTACTACAGGAGAAAACCTAATCTAAACTAACTTTATTTATACTGGATAGATATATGTAAAGTTTCAAGCATGTTTGGCGCTCATATACAAACATTAAACAATATAACCATGCATGCTTTATTTATGATGTCAAATACTTTGACATGGATAACCACGCTGTTTTAAAGCTCAAATGCTTGTCCTAGCCTATGTAAAGTTTCCAGCATGTTTGGCGCTGATATACAAAGTAACATTAAACAATATAACCATGCTTTGGTTATGATGTCAAATATTTTGACATGGATAACCACGCTGTTTTAATGCTCAAATGCTTGGAACAAATGCTTGTCCTATGTAAAGTTTCCAGCATGTTTGGCGCTTAATACAAACATTAAACATTATAACCATGCATGCTTTATTTATGATGTCAAATATTTTGACATGGATAACCACGCTGTTTTAAAGCTCAAATGCTTGCCCTATGTAAAATTTCCAGCATGTTTGGCGCTCATATACAAACATTAAAAGATATAACCATGCTTTGGTTATGATTTCAAATATTTTGACAAGGATAACCACGCTGTTTTAATGGTCGAATGCTTGTCCTATGTAAAGTTTCCAGCATGTTAGGCGCTCATATACAAACATTAAACAATATAACCATGTTTTGGTTATGATGTCAAATATTTTGATATGGATAACCACGCAGTTTTAATGGTCAAATGCTTGTCTTATGTAAAGTTTTCAGCATGTTTGGCGCTCATATACAAACATTATAACCGTGCTATGGTTATGATGTCAAATATTTTCAAATGGATAACTAAGCCCCATCTGGGTGCATTGCAAGCTAAACATTAACAATAAACACTGAGAGATAGTTTTGTTATCTCATGATAATACTCTTCCATTGATGAGTAAAATCATGTGACATTAGACACAGTAAAATACTAAAGTTATCAACAACTGGATGCATTGCAAGCTAATGGGTTAACAAGGAACACTGCATGAGAGATAGTTTTGTTAACTTAGGGCGCTTTCCATTAAGCATTCAATTTGAGTATTTCTTTGGAATTATAGTGGTGAAACAGCGTTTCCTTGCTAGGTGGATGTAAATTTTGATAAACTCAAATGCAGATTACTAAAGAAACTGTATCTAATGCATAACCAATATAACTAAGGAGCAGCGTGGCAGCGTCTTCAACAGCACTGTTATTTCGGCCCCAACTCACAGTTTTTGATCAGGCACCATTTCACATGCCTCTCCTCCAACCTCATTTATTGCATCTCATGCAACAAAAAAAATGAATGTGGTTTAATATGTATCGGCGAAACTGGAAGATCTCTAAGGGTAAGGTTTAGTGAACACCGTAGATCGATCAACAACCATGATAACACCAAGCCTGTCGCCAGGCACTTTACCTCTGGTAATCATTGTGTCACGGCTCGTTCCAGGTAATTATGACTACCAGCGGGTATAAGCTTAGCTGCCCCTATCATGCCGTTTCTGCCATTAATGAGTTGTGTAACTTTGATAAGCTTCCAGGTATTTCTTGGCTTCTGATCTTCCTTTATGATCACAATCTCTCCGACTTTAGGATGTTGCATTTGCTCTGGTGTGCCCTTCGATGTTGCTCACGGAGAGCACGTACGAATTCTCTAGTTCACCGGTTCCACATTGTTTGTTTGTATTTTAGCAAATATTTGGCTCGCTTTCCCAGATCTTTCACTTCCATGTGCCCGTTTGAATTTAATTTCTTGGCATTTAAACGCTTTGTTGAAAACGTGAAACGTTTAGATCGAACCGTGAAAACGTTTTGATCGATCCGTGAAAACATTTTGCTAGAGCCGTGAAAACGTTTTGGTATAGCCTTGAAAACGTTTTGGTGAAGAAGTGAAAGTGTTTAAATCAAACCGTGAAAATGTTTTATTACAACCGTATAAACAACAACGTTTCACCTTACCATGCAAACGTTTCCGCTAGCGTGCAGTCAAATATTTCTATCTGACAGTCGGTACCCTTGTAAAGTCCTAATTACTCAGGCGCCATCGACGGAGTTGAAAATTCGCCCCGGTTTTGTTTTTTTTTATTATTATTTTTCGTCGTCGCAAGTCTGTAATGGCGGGAAATATACTGTATTTGAGATGTGTATGTGACCGTATTTGTCTACGTCCCAGTCTTATATCCCAAGAGTTGTGGTGCACAGCTTTGGCTAATTTTCCGATGCGCGATTCGATTTCGCTCGCATGATACGGCAATTCCTTCAAGAGAAACAAATAAACCGTTGTTTTCATGCTGTTCGATTAAGTTTAGATTGAATTGGGGAAAGATTATATTTAATACATGTAAATTCTGGTCCTATCTTAATAATAATATCGCTGTTATTTCGCCGTTTAACAAGATGATGTGGCCGTGTATGGGAGCGTTGACACGTCGTAGTTTGCACATGCAGGATTGAAGATTTAATATAACTATATAATCGCGAATTCCAAAGGCAAAGTGTAAGACAAAGCGAATGCATCATGCGGTTTATTTACATTTTTGAACAATTGAACATCTATACTTTTTAAAGTACGATGTGCTTCTGAATTTTGCGATCTAACATTTAGGTTCGCAAGGCATCTAAATGTGAATATGAACTGTATTGTTTATGTTCAGAGGCTCTATATTGAAGACTGCCACTTGAGCCGGAGTTAACGCCAGAACAGGCATCTTGTTAATATATGCAATTTTTCATGCAATTTTGACCGAGATATCGCGGTTTCAATTTAAGTATGCATGTTCGAAAAGTGTAAAAATTAGCACTTATAATTAGTTATTGCATGATTATTCGTTAAACACTAACTTCACATTTCGATTTCACTAAACTATTAACGTGGCACTTGATGCTGCTGCATGCGTGTATTTGATGCAAGACCGAATTTTGTTTAACTTGCGTAAAATGCGAAGATTATGCAAATTTAAGTGGATCATCGGTGTAATTCCTACACAATTAATTGTGCAATACACAATTTTCTATTCAGCTCATGATTTAACAATATAGATACAAATCACATTCACGAGTAGATTAGTTCTTCGGCAATGAATGATATTCTTTCTGTGCGTAGAAAGGACGTGATTATGTTGACATCAAATGTGATATTGCAAGTGTACCACATTTGGCAGGCAGTTACCACAATAATCTTAGATAGTTTCGCTTCGCTAACCTCTGCAAACAACCCGAATGTCGATAGTCTCACATGCCAGATTTTAATAACTCCATATCTGCATATCGTCCATCTACATATAGCCTGCGTATCCTTCATCATTGCTCACCGAAACGATGTACGCTATTGCCAAAATGCTAGTGATATGCTGCACTTCAACAATATTACACTGTCAATTTCGCAGTGTTACGCTAACACCAAAATGGTGGAGGATAACACTAATTAAGTGTTATGCTGAATCGAACACCATTTGAGTGCAGCAATTAATACACTCGAAGAGTGCAGCCCGACACCATGCTAGCGTTCCTATCACACTTTCTTAGTGTAAAAAGAATAAATTGACTGTCTACGCAAACTTAGTGTACACTTACATTAAAACGGTGTACATTTACGTAATTGTCAGGTAATTTTACACTTTACGATAGAGCTAATATAAACCTTTATTATATACACAAGCGCCAGATATGAGGTATGCTGCAATCTCATTGGTTGGCTACTAGACAGATATTAGCTCATATCTGTCTAGTAGAGAAAGTAAACAAAATGGCCGAAAGATTTGGGAAGTTGAGTGAATAAGAAATCCAAGCTTTAGTTGATAATAGCACACCAAAAGGCACCGAAAGGGCGACAAAGTTTGTGTATATAATCATATACGACTCGAGTTCGCAGAATAACTGTTAAATATATATTTAGTGTTAGATATGCTTACACTCTAACAGTGCAAATCTACACTTACGTTGGTGTTTGATTACACCAAAAATATGTCAATATTCTCCATTCTTGTGCAAAGTAAAAACTGGTCTGACACCTAATATGTGTACTAAATGCGGCCAGAGTCATGCAGTATAATTGGCTTCGTATTGGTGCCATATTTAGACACCCAGAAATCTTAGCAGGCGTGCTCTTAGCGCGTTCTTTCAAAAATTCTGTTGAATACGAAGATTATATGCTGGAGTTTCCTTTATTTCTTTACAATATCGCATGAAACAATTCAAGACGTAAAGCATACATATTCTTTTGAATATAAGTGTTATTATTATACACTCGTATATAAATATAGCCTGTTTACATACTTTAGAACATCGATATTTTGTTTCATGTTTATATATATGCAAGTGTCGAGGGTGTTATATTGTATAAAATATTTTATGCTGTGTATTTTCAGGTGATTATTTTAATCTATCATACTCCCAAGTAATGCTGTCATTAAATTCATGAAAACAAATTAAATAGTCAATGGCAATGCGAATGAATAAATAATATTAAAAATTATCTTTTGTACAGAGATCGGTGTCCGGCATCGGTGACAGTGGCGTAGCCAGAACGATAATTGGGGGGGCCAATATTCTTATATTCGTGATACGCAGGATTAATTTCTTTTCAAATCAATTGTCTTTACAGTCTGTTAACATGAATATATGAATATGGGCCCCCCCAATTATCGATGCTGGCTACGCCACTGATCGGTGATTATATTATTAGTTAAACTTAGTCGTTATTCTATTTACGTTGTAAACTGTATATTTTTAAATAATACGCTATTAATTTACATTTTTTAATTGCTAAATAGAACGTGATTTTTAGCTCACCTTGAACATCGTCGACCTGCATTGTCAATCCGTATCAATCGGAAGTCAAACAGCAAACAGTTAGGTAAATGATTGCTGATTCTCAAAGAATTTCATCTTTCCAGATTGTTTCGAGCAAGCGAAAATACATTTCTTGCAAGGAAATACCACAGTTTATTTAAACAAAACCATACAACGTGTCTGAAATTTTTCCTCGAGCAGGGAATTAAAGACAATTTCAGACAAACAAACCATTTCCTGCGTCAATTCCATTTTTCGAGGAAATTTGACGAGGTCGTGGTCACATGTAAACAATGTCAAAGGCAACTCATGTCAGCCGAGCTAAGGCGGTTTTCGAGTTTCCTAATTAATTCATTATTCTTTCTATTTCCTAACGATTGATCGCCTCATCAGTGGAGTAAGTTTTTTAAAGAATAAAGCAAATATTTCCAATTATTGCCATATGGTTCCAAAACTAATGTGGGCCGCACAGATTTGAGCACTATCATACTTTTAGCATCGTCCAATTGCTCTCCCTCTCACCTTCATGAAGTCTGTTCACGCCTTGTGTAAACGTGTAAAGAGATCTGTTAACAAAATACGATCAGTTGTATACGATTGTCGTCGTGACACATGAAAACAAATGCTGATACCTGATTTTTATGATTTTTATTTACATATCTTTCAGTTCCTTTTGATCAGTTAGATTGTTATAATTACTGTTAAGGTCCCCGCAGTTAAGGTTTCTTTGTCTTCAGCTATGGTTGAGGAGATCATATCATGGTATAGAACGTTGAAATTATTGCGTAGATGGCGCGATGTGGTCTGTAAGTTATGCAAATGAAATAGATTTTGAGTGTTTCATAATCATTTCAATCCAAATGGCTTCGAATTCTTCGCAGTGGCGTAGCCAGAACGATAATTGGGGGGGCCAATATTCATATATTCGTGATACGCAGGATTAATTTCTTTTCAAATCAATTGTCTTTACAGTCTGTTAACATGAATATATGAATATGGGCCCCCCCAATTATCGATGCTGGCTACGCCACTGATTCTTCGTTCTCTAGATCGTAGTGCAGATCCCAATTGAGATCGTTTCTATTAAATGTACAAACACAACCGCCCGTTCCAGAGGTTCTGTCCCTTCTTATTACCGAATCACTTTCGATAGCTATTTCTGCGTCATAAATATCGTCAAGTTTTGCCTCTGTAATGCTGAGTACGTGAACTTGTCTCGATTCACCTATTAGAATTTTTATTTTGTCCATTTTGCTTAGGAGATCCTCCACGTTTTGTTGCAATATTTTCAGGCCTCTTTGTTTAAGAAAAGTAAACAAACCTTCATTGACACTAAAGTTAGCATTAATGCCAGTGACCGGTTCGGTATAACATAATTTACAGTAAAACATTTCTCCATTCTCCTCGGGCTTGTCTTTAATACAGCTTTCATGAAACCTGTCCCCACATATAGCGCAGTTCTTCGATCGCTGATTCTGTCGGATTGTTTCAAGGCATGTATTAGATTTGAACGTTTGTCCTGGAAGCGTCTCCAGATCGCCAGCCAACTACAGCGGGAGTTGTATAGCAACCTTGGGTCGAATTTAAACCGTGTAGGTGACGTTGTTGCCAAAATGAGAAATAAATAAGTGTGTTTTTTACTTTATTCACTTGTTTTCCCTAGAATGAGTAGCAGACAGAATCACAGCTAACCTTTGAAGGCTTTTTAACAAGGATTATTAAGACAATGAAGCAAAGAGCTCTTAGATTGACCGCCATCTTTGCCAACACGCGATTCCGTATGTGAGTTCAATATATGAGCTCAATATGTGAGTTATTATAGCTGAGCTAAAGGCTTTGCGACGTAAAGATTTTTGAAATTATATTTTTGGTCTCGGATCATCTTGAAAATGTATAGATATTTAAAACTCTCAAAACACATGCAGTTATATGCACTCTCGATACATAGCAGGTATAAAGAAAGAGACCATACATATCCATAGAAATTGGTTATTTAAAAGTTATTTGGTTTCATCCAACATAGGAATAGTCATGATATTTGATTCGATTCATTTCGTATATCTAGTCTCATCATATTCCTAGTCTCTAACAGCTTCAATATTCAGCAAAAATAAAACTGAAACCGGACTTCGTATTTATCACTCAAAAATTGATTAGGGTAGAAACAAAAATATCTGCATTTGTGCCTTGACAAAATCTACTGTAAATCTCTTTATAGCAGTTGAACCGAATGTTTTCAAAATAGCCGGTGCATGGCGAAAGACCGGTAGGATTTAAATCACTGTAAAACAAGTTCCGTGTACATACGCACGTACGCACCATAATGCATCGCGCTTGAGCTCGGTTAGCCACCAAACTATGGAGCTCACCCAGGCTCGCCCCAATAACCTTACATGTCCCATAAAACCTAATGGTAGTACAGTGCATTCTTCACATGAGGCCCTTTTAAACATGGTCATAGAACCCTGCGTTGGCCCAGTCTGAAACTTTGGTAGTTACGCCACTGTCAGAGTAACCATACTATGGAGTAACCCACTACTCGAGTACATTACCATCAGTTTGAGATAACTTAGTAGAATTAAAACAACACAAGAAAGTTGGAATTTTTAAACTTTTACTGGGTCAAAATTCAATAGCAACTGCCAGTCACGACAGAGCTATACTAATTACATAATTGATTATAATATAACAAGAACAAGAATCAAATCGGCGCTAATGACGCGTCTTTCAATTATCAGCCATGATTACTTTCACAAATTAGTTCTCATAAGCATTAACACAAAGTAACAACTTTAAACTAAAATAGGAACAGACTGACTGACCATCATGCTGACTGACAATCTTTCATTGAGACGCGTCTAAAAACTACAAAATACTGTTGTATACAATAAACTACAAATCCTACAAATTCTAATCTAAATGAAATATAGAGCGAGTTGCACCACATGGGATATGCCTTTTCAAACCATAAACAAGGGCGTTTATGCCATGTTGCACAAAAAAAGCAAATATTTATTCCCTTTGACACCAAAAAAGCATTTTGTCATGATCAGTAATTACTTTCTCATTCGCCAAAACATGGTATTGTCATGAACTCCTAAGATTTTATCATGAACGACAATTCTCTTCAACATAAGTTGATTTTCATTTAAATTCGTTCACAGGGGAAAACATTCGCCAAGGAATCCATAATGAACGTCAGTCCGCCAATTCCCCGAAGCTTAAATTGTAATCGTTACTCTGTTTTATTTTTTAAAAACATTTTTTTGATGGAATTAGATTTTAGTGAGTTCATGTTTATGGTGCAACGGCTTTTTATTTCAACTGTCTAATAAAGCAATCAACTGGAATTGCCAGTTACATCAAGCGTAGCCGCCCTAGTCACGATGATAACATCTTACGGTAGAATTACAATATTTAGGGCGAAGTATTCTAAGGATCACAGGGAGCGTGAAGAAAATATGGGATTGGAGGATCTAAATCGATCCGCGTTTCGTAAGAGGCTGAAAAAGGATAATTTAAAAACTTGTCACAATCCCGGAAATCCAATGAAATTCACCAGTTGCGCTTGAAGATATTTCTTTCGAACAGTCACGCAGACAAGTCCATCGTATAGGGGACTTATTTTAAGATCTATTTCACAACCGTCTTCCTCTCTGCTTCGCTGCCCCTGGATCATATATATGGTCTGGAAACTGGACTAAAGGCTTTTTACCTCTCGTGTAAAGCGGAAAATGGAGGTTTGGCAAAACAAATATTTATGAAATATAACATCGCCAATTGCGTAAAAGATTCGAAATGAGTGCAGTATATCTTTGTTTTGAAAAAATTTGACAAACGTTTGCTTGATAGTTACAGGGTAGTATAATTTAGTTGAGATGGAACATACCAGAACAATAATTTTCGGAGTTAGCAACTTTTATCATGTATTTCTTTTACAGCGGAGGAAACTGACAGCTGATCAAATTACGCTTCTGATTAAAGGCGCTGTTACACGATGCAATTTCCCTTGCAACTGGCAATGTAATTGTGTAATTGTCAATTTGAGTGATGTTAATTACTAAAGGGTTCTCGAAATGTTAAGATAAGTTAGCAGAGCGTACTGAAATGTTGTCTCATGGGTAAAATTACATTGCAATTTGCACGAAAAATTGCATGGGGTAACAGCGCCTTAATCCAGCAAGAGATGGACATATTAATAATATTTATTTATATTTCGTAGTAGATATGTAATAGGCCTAGACGTTTAAAATACCTAAAATTTAACGGGTTTAAAAAGATCTCTATCTTAACTACGAATAGACCAACAGGTCATTGGTGTCTTGGGACTGATGTGTTAGTGTTCATTAGGCGAATGTCACCAGTTAACGATTTTTAACTGCAGACGATGTCGTTGTTCATTAAAGCAGTTGAAGCTCGGTTGTTTAGCCAAATTACAGACCATATATTATTAACTATGTAAGCAGCAAGAAAAAGAAAATCTAGTCTATTATCTAACCCAGTGTCTTTGAATGATTGTGATCTCAGTAGCAATCCATACCGACATCCCAACTGTGGTCGCAGCCAGTGTAAGGATTATTCCATCCATTATGACTGCAATCCCAGATGAATGATTCATCACCAGAGCATTGAACATTAGAAAGCAATACAGGACCACTTCCTTTGCCATAAGCCCAGTATCTGATCTCCTTTGCTTCAGAGAAACCCAACTGACGACAGGCGACGTTACCTTCAGCAATCGCAAAAGCTCTGATGCCGTAATAGCACACTGTGCCCCAGCCAAGCGATGGATGATAGATTTCCACTCTTCCACTCTTATTGTTACTTGAACGATTCAATCTGATTTTCAGTTCAGAGTTAGCTATAACATAGACATGTTACCCATGTTAAGGAAAGACAACTTCCACTTGTTTTTCAGTCCCAATAATGTGTCTCTTTTTTCTCGGGCAAATAAATATAATTTTTTTAAAATTCAGCGCAGGTCACCGATCTGACATTTTCTGTTAATTTTTTTCTGTTTACAGTTGGTAACAATAAAGCCAGCATTATTACAATCATCTTATTGAAATTATATAACTTTATTTGGGCTATATACTGTTAAAAGATTAAAAATATATCACAACCAATATTTAAACATCTTGTTACTTGCGTTATCATCCCTGCCTGCTGCCTGCTACATGCATAACAAAAGACTAACGTCGCCATTTTTAAATTTTGAATGACGAAGAGACAGAGTCGACACGGAGTTTAGGAACTGTCGAGTAAACGAATAGCTCGATATTTAGTAGCGGCAAACTGCATGTCAGTCTTGACGAGTTTTGGCAAAGAAAAATAATTCATCTCATCCAAGGATGCATATGGATCAATCGCAAAAGACAATTAGCAAAAAGCTGTGCAAATTCTTTCGCTTTATGTCTGCACGATGATGTTTCCTAATTCGCAGCGTTTATTAATAAGTTGAAATGCTGTAAAAAATGCAAAGTTCGCTGAGACGAGGAGTTGTTTCACTTCGCTCAACCAACCAAATTAGCGCCATTGTCATTCAATCAATCGTAAATTATTCTTGCGAAAATAATAAATGATTATTGTTCGAGCGTGTGGTCTGTACTGTGAAATATCAGACCGAGGCATTTTAGAAAGGAACAAACGACGTAGAAGCGAGGATCACGCAAAAAACTCTTTCTGGTATTTCACAGTACAGACGGAACAAGCGAGGTAAATAACTGAGATACTGGTTCAGATACGGAATATGCGGACCAAGGTCCTGATATTGGTTTTTCAGCCCCTCGTCAACCAATCAGAATAAAGAATTTTAGAAAGTTATATAATTATAAAACGCACACATAAAACAGTTAAAGTAGGCTGATTACATGGTGTC